CAAATCCTTAGAACCGAAATGCTGAAGTTGTTTCGTGGTATAAATATTAAGACGATAGCATTCTCCTTCTTAGGATATAAAATAGTGGAGCAATACATTTCTGGAAGACTTACTTCAACATTTTATGACTTTAAAAGCTGTCTGATGAATGAATGTCTCACCGAGTATTGAATTTAAAAATGTTTATTTTTTCTCTATTTGAATGTTTTACAGAGCGCAAACCATATATTGTTATATTATATTTTTTTATAAAATAGAATTTTAGAATGCATCTAGCTTCCAAATAAGGTAAGGTTGGTTTTATAATAAGGTCAGCTGTTTAATATTAAAAAAAAACACGTGTGGCACTCGGGGACTGCCGCGGTAAAGCTATTACATAGCATTTTTTATCGACTTATGCAATTATAATTAGATAATAATAATTTAATATTAAAAGAATAATAAAATAAATCTAATTTCTTTTATATACCACTAGACTACCGCCATACTGTATTTTCTCAAGCTAAATCATCTAATTTACTAATAAGTAGCTTTTATCTAATTCAGATTCACGACTTAACAACGAATCCAGAATATTTCAGATGTTTCGAATATTAAAGTAATAAAATGGAATCGCGAATAAAATGGCGTCATAAAGTGTTCATTGATGATATTTTACTCAATATCTTAAAAGTACGTAGCGGAAACTATAATGTATAAACTTTGGAAATGACTTAACTTTAAAAGATCGACGATTTTCCAATAACTATCCAGCTAATAAATATGCTAAATTTAAAAAACTTTATAAATAGCATTACCGGAAAGTGCTGTAAAAGTGAAGGAAGTGTAAAATTTAAACAGAAAATTGTCTGTTTAAAGTCCAAAATTTTAATGCTCATTTACAAGATTATTAATTAGACAGAAAATCCAATTACCTAATATTAAAATTAATCAAATTTAAATTGGGAAACACTGAACGACGAACATTAAATAAGCTCTTCTAAGAGAATATCTTTGAATAACTACCACTAGATGGCGTTGTACACCAAAAACAAATCAAATCAAATCAAAAAAGTTTTATTCAACATAAATGAAAGTACATACTTGTTGAACGTCAAAAGAACTACCGCCAATTCACAAGAATTAGCCTCCGTCCTGAGAAGAATTGGCAAGAAACTCAGCGGGCATGTCTTTTTTTTTTTTTAATATTAGTTTTTTTTTTTTAATATTAGATTTTTTTAAATATTCATTTTTACAGTAAGTAATTATAACATAACAATTATTACAATAATGAAATGCCCGGAGCGAGCAACTCATTACCACTTTGTGCTAGTGTATCTTCTAGATAATCATTGACTTTATAGTAAGCTTTATTGCACAGATGTTCTTTAATAGTTTTCTTAAACCTATGTATATGTAGGTTCTAAACATCTTGTGGGATTTTGTTGTACAGGCGCACAGACAAACACCCGAATGAATTTCGTATCTTATGTAACCTACTCATCGGCAGAACAAGAAAGATATACTGGGATGGCATAGTAAGAACTTTAATTTCTTTAAATTTTTCCCTCAGGGATTCCCTTGAGTGCATGTTATAAATAGCACGTATAGCTCTTTTCTGCAGAATAAATATCATTTCTACATCGGCCGCATTGCCCCATAGCAAAATGCCATAGGACATGACACTGTGGAAGTAACTAAAGTAAACTAAACGAGCCATGTCCGCATTTGCTAACATTCTAATTTTTTTTACTGCGTATGCTGCACAGCTGAGCTTACTCGCCAATTTATGAATATGAGGTCCCCACTGCAGTTTGGAGTCCACTGTTATACCAAGAAAGAACAAACACCAGCATAATGTTTTTCAGAATTCTTTAAAAATATACCATTAAAAATCATAAAATTTTAAAACAAATTTCTTTCAATCGTGTTATATCAGTACACACGTTAATTATTGATGAAAACGATGAAATTATGTAACAATTGACAAAGTTATTAAACAAAAAACCTGCATCGCGGTATTAAAGTTCTCAAATATTTGAGTAAATATACTTTCAGCTTTGCAAATCTCTCGGACCACTTCGACAAAGAGGCACGACACGAGAACCCTCTCATCGTGGCCGCCGGTAACTACATTCCCGATCCTGCGGACAGAATGGAAAGCAGTCGACGTCGCCCAAAACACGTCATCTCGGATCCTCCCGATCCACTAACGGTGCTTCTAGGTACGTCAAGCACCGGTCACCGTTCTCGTCGAACCCGTCGCTTGCGACGAAGGGCTCGACGAGTAAATTAACTCTCAGACACAGACACAGCTCAGTAGGTCGCGTTTCCGATCCGGTGGTAGATTCTGCGAAGCACGACTCTTGCTAGGGTTCGTGTTAGCATCGTCGTCAGGTTTGAGCCCCGTGAGCTTACCTACTAGTTACGGTTACGCTGGAATAGCCGCTTCAGGCTACCAGCTTAGGTAGGAAAAAAAAATCTCTCGGAAGCGTCATGATAATCGCCTTATCGTTGCCGCCGCTGACTACTCCCCGAATCCTGATCACGCAGGAGCCAGTCACCGTCGACGCCCTAGACACGTCCTTACGGATCCATCAGATCCAATAACCTTTGCACTAGACGCCTTCAGCTCTAACACTAGGAGCAGGCTTAGGGACCCCGGTAACCGTACTCGTCGAACTCGACAAAGAGTTCGCCGTGCAACCTAACCCATGAATCAGCTCGCTGAGTTTCTCGCCGGATCTTTTCAGCGGGTCGCGATTCCGATCCGGTAGTAGATTCATTCGCGAAACAGCTGCTCCCTCCCCTCCCCTCCTGGCTGAGCCTTTGCTCGCGCACCTGTCCTGGTGAAAGGCCTCCGGGCCACCAGTAATACTTCAATCATAAAAAAAAAACTCTCGGAAGTGTATTCTTTAGTGTGAAGTAGTGTGAAGTTACAACTGCCACGTTTGATACCCCTAAGGGGAGTCTCGTGCAGCGAGTAGCATCACGCGTTCGTTGCCAGTTATGCTCCTTGTATTGTAATGTGAGCCGACAGACGATCGCCCGCGCGGCTGCGATGGACTAGACGCGCACTTTCCTCGGGCTGCCTTTGAATCTTGCGTGGTTTTAGTTATTTGTTTAGTTATTGCGTACTGGGGGTGTCAGGTTATTTTCGTTACGAAATTTCTGGATTCCGCTCTCAAGCCGCGCCCAAGGCCCGTGATAAAATCTATGCAATAGCTTAAAAACTCACATACTTCTGACCAATTCATGCCATATTAGATATAGTAACATTATAGTGATTTTTGCTACAAGGAAAACTTGGTGTTAGAGATAATTAATGCACTTCTCACTGCCACTGTTTTTTATTTTCACATAATATATTGGAAAGCCACAATCCAGAAAAACAAGCCACGAAGCGAAAATTTCAATTTAAAAGTTAGTTTAGAAGGTCTCATAGAATAAATCTCATAACGAGTTTTTGTACGTCAGCTTTTATGGGTATTACTACGTAACAGTGAATTCATTATATTATTATTTTATATGCATTATATTAAATTAAGCATAGATCTAAAGCTCTAAGCTTAAATAACACTATTATGTTCATAGATTTTGTTTTGGAGTTGTGAAAAAGCATTCTGTTTTTGAGATGACTTTTATCTGGCAGTCGGTTTATATAAGTTGAATGGTCAACTACTTCAGTAATTAGCATGTAACAAAAGTCAAAGCTTTTATGATTAATCTTTACGATTAATAGTTAACAGTTATAGCAAGAGGCTGCTAATTATAACTATAAACATGTAAATTATAGAAATTCCTAAGTCGAAATACGGTAATAAGTATACTGTTGATCACCGTATTTTTAAGTAAAATAATAAATAATGCGACTTTCTTCCTTTCAATTCTCCTTTCAATTTGAATTCTTCTTCCTTTCAATAATAATTGTTAACTAATTTTTAATATAGGCATCTTTTATAAATATTTATTTTATCTTTTTTTTTATACTCCAAAAACCTCCTTAACGAAAACAAAAAAAAAGTGTTGTACTTAACTGTAGGTTACCAATATTTGAATTTTAAGGTTCGTTCAATTGAAAGAAAAAACAAAGCAGAATTTCGAAATTATCAGATTTCTGAAAATGGGTAATTTTATCGATTTTTTTCGAAATCGCTGCGCTTGTTAATTGTGTTGACGTCACTCCATTAGCCAATATAACCGGATTGGACAACAAGAATAAAAACAACATTCTTATTAGGACCTGTGTCCAAACACGTGAATGCGCACAAGGAAAACCCAAACAAATATTTAATATGTTTTTATCTTAAAAAAATTTGACACAAAAATTTATACTATTATGAAAATAAATCTTTAACAATAAAAAGAAGTTTGTTGCTTCATTATGTTAATTAATCATAATACAATTCTTTTTTGTATAAGTGAGCGATGAGCTCACCACAGCCCATCTGATTCTAAACGATTGCATAATTATAATTGCCAAAATTAAGCAGCCCATCTCGAATAGTAAAAAAGAAGTCTCAAAACCTTGCAAAGACGACTATCTCACTCTACAAAATAGAATGGTTCCTAACTTCCTTTGTAGCAGAACGATTGTTGGTACCGATCCGTAATTAGATAGATTACCAAAAATATTATTACAATAAGTACTGACTTGGTTGACTAATTACAGGTCAGTTGGTAGCATTAAACATACTTAAATATAATTTACCGTACATTTTAATTAATGATTTACATCTAAAATCTAATCATTAATAATTTTGATCAGATAGCAGTTTCAGCTTTAACAAATATATTGTAGGTAAAATTATTAATGCCAATCATGTGAATTTAATTCTAAATTAGAATGGACAACGGACGCGGCGTGGTGGAAAACAGTTCATATTAACATAATGAACATAAACGGGTTTGCTTGAAAATCCACGCGGGTTTTCTGAAAACGTCCATTGCCGACTGCGTTCGTAAGACGTATGCCTTATATTTTGTATATTATGTTGGTTCTCAAGAAACTGTCTGTCAATTCGTGTTGGAGCGCGGTCAAGTTAGCCGCGGCACACGGACTGCTTGTCTGTTTAGCAAACGGTTAGAATTAGTGAAATTCACGACATCTCGTCCCTTAGTCTTCTTGCTGACCGCATTAGCAACAGTATTGATTTCACATAAAATCGCAAAAGTGAGTATAGATAACAAATTACTATTTTCTTACTTCATATTCAACACAATTCATGTAGTTAACCGATCGACGAGTATAAAGCAAAATTCTCTTTTGGGACGTTAGTGTGCTTTCTTATTATTATTATTTATTAGTTTATTATATTTGGTTATTTTGCACAATAACCTTTTTTGAACAATGAAAATCAAAATATATTCATGATAATATGCGACATTTGATCATCATTAACTAAAGTTTTGAATCCATATGCTTAAAGCTTTTAACATATAAAGTAACAACATATTAAATCTCACCAAAACAGAACTTCAAAATATTTAACATTTTAATAATTTTGTATTTAAATATTTTATACTATATATGTTTCCTTTTTTAAATATAAGACCCTTTTTCTTTAGACAGCCAACGCAAATGTAACATTTTCATAATAATTTCCAACTAAATCGACCGATCGATAAAAAAAAACCTTACAGTAAAATATGTCCGTTGTCAAATTTTCATTTTGTTAAACTTTTTATTTTGCTCTTCCAATCTTATGATCGATCACCTGGTGGCATTTAAAGTGTTATCTTACAACCTCTTATTTAAAAATATACCAAAGGCATATATAAAAAATTTCATAGATTTAACAAGAACTTCGGACTTACAATGGAGTTTGTCACACAAAATCGCTAACAAAACAGTAATCTTTAATCTTCATTACACAAAAATAATTACCATGTCGTCAATTATCAGTTTCGGAAAATAAAGTTTAATTGTCTTACTTTTTCATATTCATTATGCGAAGACCAGGGTTTTTCCATAAATACGCGAAGACCAGCCATTATAATATTTTTAACTCACGTTGTTTCTGTGGGATAAACGAACATAATTGTCTTTGCCGACATTCCTATCTTCTAAACGGACGTGGATCATTATATTTTATATCAGCGAATCGTATTTTTGTAAAAAAGGAGCTTCGTTATGAACAAAAAAACGAAATTCATTTTACGAAACCGAATAAGTAAACCTGTAACAAAAGGCACTTAATCATCTCCATATTTTTTTTCTACTCAAAAATAAGAAATTTTTCAAAAATGAATTACTTAAAACACTTACACACTTACTTAAAACAATTACTTAAAACTAATTGAGTTTTATAAATTATACGGAAACTTGGTAGTGGCTCTTAAAAACTCCTAGTTCGTGATAATCATGATACACGCAATATTCAGAAGAAATAACAAAAATAACATAAAATCGTTTAGTTTCTCTATTCGACGTACATAGTAAAGCTTTAGGCTTAAATTTTTCACTTAAAATTCTCGGACACGGCTACGTATTAAGACTCTTATGTTTTAATTTACAAGGATAACAACTAAGTATACCTAAAGCTGAGATCTGATTACATAATTGGCATCGTGTAAATGTTACTCTGTTGCGATCAATAAACATTACTCTAATGACTTTTCATATCGCAGACCGGAGTTTGTTAATGTCATTTCAGTGCAAATTTATATAATATTACCCACACGGGTTTACTTGTATAAGCTACAATAATGTGTAGAGATAAAAAAATATACAAAAATTATGATAGAAAGTAAGTGACAAAACCATAAATTGTGGGTTTAATTGAAATAAATATTCATAAACCTTTAATCTGAATTATGGCTGTGTATTAAAATACAATCAAATGTCAATACTGCGACATCTAAGATTACTTTGTTCGTTATGCTAGTTCATAATTTTCTTGATAACTAAGAGTCATGGCCGAGAATATTTGTCAAAACATATCTATATAATTATGGCTAAAAGTATTAAAATTGAGGTGGCGCGGCGTGGGTGCTGAGAGATTTCAATATTTTAAATTTTACTCTTCCGACATTCTAAAGAAAGACAAAATATAAAACTACAGCTCGGACTGAAGTATCTATTATAATAGTATAAAACCTAAACCCAAAACACCCGTTTTATTGAGCCAAACTAAAATGAAATTATCCTTTTTGAACGCTTTTTTGCTTGTGTTATAATCGATCTTGGTCGTATGCAAATTTTCAAGTTAATCAAACGTCTGATGTTTTTTTGGCAATGTTAAAAAAATCCGTGACGCAGGTAGATAAAGTTCAAGCTATGTAAAGCATTAATACAGTTAACTTCTTCGATTTTCGCCTCCTAATCTAGACACATATTTGGAAAAAATCGCAAAACACATGGCACTGGTAAATAGAAATATTATACAATATAGGTATACAACAAATATTTGCTCTTTGCTTACTCTATATAGTGTTATTATTCCCTGGGAAATATATTTTTATAGACAACAGCAACATTCGATATTCTACTTGTTTAAAAATTAATAATTATACGATCTTATAAGAATGCCCATTGTATTGTATTAGTATAATAGTTTTTTAGATCCCTAGGGTTGTTGACTTATTAGTGCGTTGTTGCCTTGATGGCCATTGACGCAGTTGATGAATTGTTAATGCAAATAATGTTTAATACAGTGAAGTACTTAACTGACACGTTTTTGAGATTTATTTTGTACTTAAATTTTTCAAGAATTATAATTACGTTTTTAAAAAAACGTTTTGTAAATAATAATGTACAATTATAATCAAAGACTAAAACTTGTTTGGTTTATAAAAAAATTAATACAGTAAATCTCCGCTTAGCAAATGTAACGGTTAAAAAATATTATCATGATACGTGGTAAAGTTTCAAAGCAGTATGTTCGAACGATGCGATCTGTCGTTTTCTTGCACGCAATAGGAACTGTGGGGTTAAAGCACTGATTAAAGGAGTTTTCCATGAACGTATAAGTTTGAGTTCATTGATTGCTTTCTCGCATAACTGGTTCGTTTACTTTCTAGTGCTACAATCCTATTTAACTTTAATAGTCATCGTATACAAGTAGCACTAGATGTGATGTGTATTCAAGTAGAGTTAGTGTATAGACTTGTGTTTCGTAAATGTTGAAGAACAACTCTCGACGTGACAAGCATAACCGAATATGTGTTTTGAATAAAAAAAGTTTTTATTTTCTTTCTCATACGGTTTCGATCTCAAGAAAATAGTTTTAATAGATCTCAAGAAAATAGATTTAAAAAATTTAGTTTTTTATAAACTTATCCGATCTCTCTCTCTTCGATCGGTTCCTCACTGCTGAGGATCGTGACTCCGTCCGATTTCGTCAACCAACTGTCTCCATCGATCCCGCCCTGCAGCCCGGTGGAGTGCGTCGCTGATAGGTATCCCCAGTTCCTCCGCTATTTGGTCCGACCATCGTTTGGGACCTCTACCCCTAGGCCTTTTTCCCTCTATTTACTTATCAGATACACGATCGAATAGATATTTGTGGTGCGTTAAAATCTATTACAATTTAAATGTTCACCTAAGGTCTCTAATGTCAGCTTATAATGATGTTGAATGCACCGTTTATGTTCTTCTAATCCCGATTTGTATAGAACTATGTCTAAGGTGTTCCCATCTATGGTCCAAGCCGTAATGTTCGTCACTAGTTTCCTCATATATAATGTGAATAAATAAATTTAAGTTAAACAACAATTCACCATGTACTAAATATATACTGTTTTAAGTTAATATTGGCAATACAACTTGCGATTTAAAATCGATGTGTAAGATAGCCACAATGTCTCATTGACATTCTCATATGTATGTTAATTATCAAGGAGGCTTGGCTCCATACGATAAGATGAAGTACGCAGCGTCACCGCGCAGACTGCTTTAAAGATAACAACTTAACAAGGGCAAAAGTTTAAATTTTAATCGATTAAAATTTTATCCATGGTCCGTTTCTGAAAAAGTGTTGCAAATCACTGTATTTTACTTTTTTATACAATGGCCAAAAAAATTATTAAAGTCTGTTAATGAATATAGCGCAATTAATTTTAGCTGTGCTTAAATCGTGTTTTGTATCTTGCGGCCGTGTTTACAGCTGGTTGTCAATGCCAAGAACATAATGAGGGATCACTATTGTACATTAGGCTCATTAAGAAATCTGTCCCTAATACAGAACAATCTTTCTTTGAATGGTTTCTGCATGAGCAAGATTCATTCTGAATACCTATATGTTTTTCCAGAAGTAATGAGTACAGGCGTAAACCACATTATGAAATAAAAAAATAAGTCGTTAGGAAAATAGATCAACAGACACAAATTATGATAAAACTGTTACTAACAATGTTCTTGTTAGCTTTAGTTACCCGATATTATTTCCTGCTTTTTCAATGATGAACTAGTATTTATATAATGTTAAGACAAGACTATTCAATTCAAAAGGTCACGGTCGTTTAAATTCTCATGAAACTTTAAGGTAGTCGTTATTTGGCACTAGATAAGTTATAATTGGATAAGTTTTGTTTCAATGGTAAGTTTTTTTTGTAGAACAAGTAATGAATTTGATTACTATAATAAAATAACCTTTGATGTTAATCAGTTTTAGCCTCCACCACCATTTCGAACAAAGTCCACAATCGATTGAATTATGTAAATTTCCATGTTTAAATTTTGATAAACAGTCAATTATTTTATTACCTTAATGTCTCAATCACTGACTATAAAAAATGGGTTATCGTAACATCACCTCGAAGTTATTTTAGAACACGTGATTCTGTCACCCCGGCTCATAGGTCATTATCCAATTTAAACCGACTCCTCATCCAATTTACGAGAGCTATTGAAAAAAACTATAGGTTGCTTCTACAATATTGTTAAAGATATTACATTATTAAATATTAAATAGATTATATAGCAAAATATATTAAATTACGTTCGAAGTAAAAGAGTAATATTTGCATCGGTTTTCGTGAGTTATAAACATTAGTCAACATAAAACCGAATAATTAGTTTTATTTAGTAAAAGTTATACATTTGTATAAATAAAAGAAATTGATAACATTTGTTTCGTTGTTTTTTTTATCATATATTTATTATGTTGAATGATACAAATGACGGAGTATCTAGACTAGTGGACGCGGCAAAAATTCGAGTGTTTCGTCCAACGATATTACAATGTGTAAACCGCCATGCACCTTGAGACACGATGTTTCAGTCTCAACTTTCATGTCCCAACCCTTTAAATCAGACCATATCGCGCGAGTTTCATTAAAAAAAATGTAATATTACATTTCCGCTAATTATAATAATATACTGATAAACTATATAATAATTTATCGCTTGGCGGTCACAGATAATAGAAACGGAAAGTCATGAATTAAACTAATTAAGTCTACTTGTTTTTTAATACAGTCTGCGTCGATTGGACCATTCCTTATAAGTAAAAACTAAGTTGCATCACAATTCTATTGAGCGAGTTTGTTTAGGATTTAGTATTCTGAAGTTGATTGTTTACGCAATATGTAAAACTGATTCTCTTCGAGCACTTCATTGGGCATGTATATTCTAAATTTGTAGATTTAATTTAAATGTAAATTTTTGTTTTCTTTGGAATTCATAAGAACTTTCGACTTGTCTAATATTATAAACTTTTAATCTACGTTCGTGTGAAAATGTTTTCTTTTGTTTCAGTGGTGGAGAGCGAAATAAAAGATGTCGAAAACCAGAAAGTAGATGAGGATCCGATTACAAAAATTATTGGAGCGATCGGTAAATGGCAAATCTGGATATGCTTCGTGGTTTTCCTCGTGAAGTTTCCAGTTGCCTGGCACCAGATGAGCATAATTTTCCTAGCCCCTCCAATGAACTTCACTACTTCGAACACCAGCGGTGATTTCGATAATGTATGTTTTGAAAACAGCTCCGAGTACGTCTATGATCACAGTATCTTTCAAGAGACTATCGTGTCACAGTGGGACCTCGTTTGTGACAGGCATTGGCTGAAAAATCTTACACAAACAATTTTTATGCTCGGCATCCTCGTGGGCAATATGCTATTTGGCCATCTTTCTGACAGGTCAGTACCGTCCAATTTAAGCTATCGATATCTTAATATAGAACTTCAAACAGCATCCTTAAGTAGAAAATTGATACATCCGGCTGACAATTGTGGAACAAATAACCTCAATTATGCGGAAATGATTACTTTAGCCAAACGTCAGTTAATAGGACGTTGGACCACTTGTAAGGCGTCTTACGATTTCTGCGAATCACATAGAGTACGCATTAAATGAGAGTTTTAACTAATATATTGATTGGGAACCCGAAAGAGTCCGCTGAGTCTCTCGCCGGATCATCTAAGCGGGTCGCGATTCCGATCCGGTAGTAGATGCATTCGCGAAGCAGCTGCCCTTGTGCTATTAGGTCTCCTTCGGAGGAGCTCGGGCAGCTGTTAGCAAATGGTGGGTGGCGCATTTACGTTGTAGATGTCTATGGGCTCCAGTCACCACTTAACACCAGGTGGGCTGTGAGCTCGTACACTCATCTAAGCAATAAAAAAATAAAAAAATCCCACCCCTCCTAGCTGAGCCCGTCTTCGCCCACCTATCCTGGTGAGACTGGGCCACCAGTGATACTTACATACATACATAATACTTACATACATACCTCCCTAAAAAAACTCAGTCGAGTAGGTACCACCCCGCTGCGGCTAAACATTCACATGCGTCCAGCATAAGAGAGTCAAATAAAATTGTGACTTCGATTTAACTAGAGTAGATGGGTGACTGTATTCACAGTAACATATTTACGTTATGCATGTGTATTGAATTATGGTTTCGTTGATAAACATTCATGACAGATCATAGTTTTGTAATCACTGTATAATATTCAATGGAAAAGATTCCAAAATCGAATACAGGTGCGTCATTCCCAAGACTATTGTATTTAAAAATTTAATCGATTTTTATTTATTTCAAGTATGTTTTTAACTTGTATAAACACTAAAATATCAGCTGATTATCGGAATTCACGATTTAATTTGATCTTGGGGTGCTCACTGGCCGGCTTCGCTTTAAGCTGCGCGTAAACAATCACAGCATCAATAAGCATGACAGTATTATGTACAAGCTCACTAGGTCTTGATGGATCCACTCTTAGTGCAGTGGAATGCTTCTAATTCTAATGCTATCAGCAAACATAGCTTTTATCAAAGTATTCGTGGAATTCGTCATAGCTCGGCGTGATATTTAACTCATAACCGCAACTCAATGAGTTTTTCGCTAGATAATCTAGATATTCTTAACGGGTCACTATTCTCGGTTAGCCTCTACTCGCCTAGGTAATTGGTATTTTGGTGAACCTCCAAGGGATTCAGTAATTACGCAAATTTTAATTGTTTTGTAAATTCCAAACTCGATATTATTCCTTCGTGGTGAAAATTGCTTAAACCATTTAGAAAAAGAACTTGTTTAGGTATATGCAGTTATCCGTGCGAGATTGTTTTTCTGAGGAAGGCCTAGAAGTTTCAAATGTAGATAATAAAATTAATATAACACATACGAGAAAAAAAACTTACCACTAAAAAATATGTAATAGTAATCCAAATTTCATTAAACTTTTCAGATTTGGTCGCAGAACGCCATTCTTAGCAGCAGTATTTCTTCAGCTTATTTCTGGAGTAACAACTGCATATTCGGTGAACTGGTACATGTTTACAACACTTCGCTTCATCCTTGCCGTGGCCACTGGAGGGACTATGGTTACAAGCTTCGTACTCACAATGGAAATAATCGGCGCTAAATACAGAGAGACTGTTGGAATAATTTACCAGATACCTTTTAACCTCGGACACCTATCACTTCCGCTCTTTGGCTACTACTTACGGAATTGGAGCAATTTCCAGTTAGCCATATCATTACCTTCAGTGCTTTTCCTGAGCTATTACTTTTTATTACCGGAATCGCCAAGGTGGCTCTTGACCGTAGGAAAATCGGAAGAAGCTGTTAAGATATTAGAAACTGCAGCAAAAAGGTAACTTTAGATAAAATTACATAATTGATACTTTACTTTCCTTTATTTATTCCTGAACGTGGTCAATCAATCAAAGGGTATCAGTGTCTCACATTCCTCAAATACGAATTCGGCCATGCAACTTTTACTAAAGTCATATACATACTTTTGTGCACGTATTGAATATTATTGATAATTTGAATAGTCACAACGAGACGCCTGTTTGACATCAACTCTCTTTGTCAATGTCCTTGGTAATTTCAAACTGTCATACTACTAATTATTAAACGGACAAGTTTACGTATTCTTCGGCAGCATTAACGTAAAGTATCAAAATTGATAAATTTACGCAACATGTTTTCTTCTTTAAAGTTTTTTTTTCCTTTTTTTTCAGAAATGGTTTACCAACCGATAATATTGGTTCGACGACACAGAAAATGGTTGTGGACATAGGAAATAAGTCTGAAGAGCGTGCTTCGTTTTTAGCCTTGTTCAGGACTCCCAAGCTCCGTGCTCGGACAATCGCGATTTGCTACAATTGGTTCGTTTGCGGTCTCTGCTTTTTCGGTGTCTCCCAGTATATCGGACAAGTCTCCGGAAATATTTTTACCAACGTTGCCATATCTGGAGCTATACAGGTAAATTTTTATTTTTATTTAAATTGTCTATTACAATAAAAAAAAATAGTTCCTCAGTCGATACTAATTATTTAATCCGTTCGTATTTTAAATTATTTCAGGTCCCTGGAACATTGATCTCGATCTACGCTAATAGAGTCCTAGGAAGGAAAATGACACTAATTATAGCTAACTGCGTCACCGGAATCAGTTGCCTTCTAATAATGGTTGTACCTCGATCAGAAGTAAGCAATTTAATATTAGGTTGTTCCGGTCTTTGGGGACTGAGTATCTCATTCGCCACTGTATACTTGTACGCCGGTGAACTCTTCCCAACTGTAGTAAGAAACTCCGGCGTGGGATTATCATCGACTGTTGCTAGAATAGGATCTATGGTTGCGCCTTTTGTTGCGACCCTAGGTCACACAAGCGCTTGGCTTCCACCATTGGCTTTTGGGATTGTCCCGTTAATTGGAGCAGGGCTGTGTATCTTATTACCTGATACACGAGGTAAAAAATTACCTGATACTCTGGAAGAAGGCGAAGCGTGAATAAATTGATCTCTCAAGAATGCCAAACAAAGGCTAAAGCTTTATAAATAAAGTACATATTCAAAATTAGTTATGAAATAATCTTATCGCACCTGTATTGGTTAATATGAGTTGAGAATTGTATTCATATATTTGTTGTTAAAATGTATATAATATTAAGGTTTCGTTTTTAGATTTCAAGTATTTAGATATTAAGTATTTTAATTAAGTACTATTAAGTATATTTTTAATAACGATCAAGAAAATAACATTAAAAATTGTGTTCAATTTGTGTTAAAAATGTCTTTTGACGATATTTTATTTGAGGATGAACATTTCTGCCTGAACATACTGTTTCATCTGTGAAGTATGTTTAGATATAGTTTAAGATAGGCTGTGCTTGATAAGTTCAATAGACACTAAAGACAAATGAGCTATTTTATTTTAAAATTTATTATTTCCTATACTTTAAGGGCATCGTTAGGTTGTCTATTCAAATCACTGAAAATATTATGGTCATGCTTTAACGATTTCCCCTTTGTTCAGATTATTTTCTTCTCCTGTCATAAGGACTGGGGCATAGAATGACAATGTATTGGATGGGTTCCATTTTAATTGCATTGCTTAATTTCTACAGGAAGAAAAAATGTAACACAACATCCGTCCTCCCGAATAAAATTATTTTAGCATATAATGATAACAATATTTTTTTTAATAAAACTGGTAGTAGGACCTCTTGTGAGTCCGCGCGGTTAGGTACCGCCACCCTGCCTATTTCTGCCGTGAAGCAGTAATGCATTTCGGTTTGAAGGGTGGGCAGCCGTTGTAGCTATACTGAGACCTTACAACTTATATCTCAAGGTGGGTGGCGCATTTATGTTGTAGATGTCTATGGGCTCCAGTAACCACTTAACACTAGGAGGGCTGTGAGCTCGTCCACCTATCTAAGCAATAAAAAAAAAAGATAATATATGGAAATGACTGAACTCACTCTCCCTGACACGATGGTGTACCATTCTTCGTTTTCAAGTGAAGGTTTTTCAGGCTGGTCGTAAAGATAAACCGGTCTTGCCTTTCAGCTGTCACACGAGATCGCGGTCTTCCTTGATGACGAACGAGTCAGTGGTACGGCTTAAATTCAGTTGTGCACCCACATTTCTTTGGCTATGCCCAACCTGCAGAAGTGCTAGAGCTTGGGCGGGAATTTCAGGCCGAGTATCCTAATTTTTTGGTCAAAACAGGCTCAAAGATTAGACGAGCCTTTTTATGGAACCTATATTCAGAAAATCAATAAAGTAGGTAATCAAACTTTCTCGAATTAAATGAAGTCGTCGTGGCCCAAGGGATAAGACGTCCGATGCATTCGTGTTGAACGATGCACCGATGTTCGAATCCCAGGCGGGTACCAATTTTTTTAATGAAATACGTACTGAACAAATGTTCACGATTGACTTACACGGTGGAGGAATAACATCGTGTAATAAAAATCAAACCCGCAAAAACTTATTGCTCCATACAACATTTCTTTTTAGTTATGGACCGTCAAAACTTAAAACACTAGGTAGGGCCGATAGATGTGTCCGGCAGTGTATATTCACCCATAAAACTTATTAGTCTATTTATGACCTTGCATTAATTCAATAAATGCATTTCACTTCATCTAAAAAAAACCAAAATGTAAAACACTCAAAACTTTTTTTTATGGATGTGGCATTGCTAGTGGCCCGAAGGCCTCTCCAGAGCAGGATAGGTGGGCGAGCCAAGACTCAGCCAGAAGGGGTGGGATTTTCTAACAGCTGCCCGAGTGCCTCCGAAGGAGACCTAACAAGTCAAGGACATCGCGGCCCGCTAAGAAGATCCGCCGAGAAACTCAGCGGGCAGATATTTAGGTTAGGTTGCACGTCGAATTGCCGAGTTCGACGAGTGTACGGTTACCGGGGTCCCTAAGTCTGCTTCTAGTGTTAGAGCTGAAAGCGTCTAATGTAAGGGTTATAGGTCTAGTATCCATAAGGACGTTTCTAGGGCGTCGACGGGGACTGACTTCTGCATGATCAGGATTCGGGGGTTAGTCAGAGGCGGCAACGACGTACCGTTCCGACACTGACTTCATATGTTTCCTCCGGATTGATTCGAGGCCCAGGTCGTCGTGTAAGTCAACGTTCCTCACGAACCACGAAGCTCCGACGGCTAACCTGCAAAAGCGGGATTGTAGGGATTGGAGGGTGTCTATGTGTGTGGGGGCCGCGTGCGGGAACACCATACTCGCGTAAGACATGACGGGCCATAAGTAAGTTTTCTAAGGTGTCACCTTGTTCCGAAAGGATATTTTACTCAATTGTGTAATCTATAATAAGAAACCCCAATCTCAATGTAAAATCATTTGTCTGATAAATTAAGTCATAAATATTATAAAACATTAACGTATGATTATATTTGCTTATTGAGTTTATTCATGTTTATCCAATATTAAGAGTTTAATTATTATACAAGAGATTAGTTAATATATTATTTTTATTAAGTTGACGGTTGAATTTATTCATACACATCTACTAGGTGGTTACAGAAGCTCGTACAGCTTGAGACATGAGGTCTGGATCTTAATTGTATAATACAAGGGCTGTTCCACCCTTTTAACTGGAACGCATTACTCCTTCGTGGTAGAAATAGACAGAATTCGATAGGTACCCGTGCGGGTTAATAATGCGTCCTACACCCAGTAATTAGGCAAACCATATTTTTTCTTTCTCTATCGTAGAAGTTATTGGTAAGCATCGATAACCTGGTGAGTAAAGTGAATTCTACAGCTTAGCTCTAGGCGCAATATATTAAGAAACCTTTAAATTCCTTTGAAATAGAAGCTATCCTGACCTTTAGAGAGAAATGCGTATGAAGGCATGACGTAAGATGGATCATTGAACATTAGCGACCAGTAAAATACTGTAAAATATATTTTATTTAAAGCGAAGAGCTTAGGTTCTAAATAATTGTTTTATCAATTGAAATTTATTATATCTTATAGAAATTTAGATTATGCTGTATTGGAATAATAATAAAACAATACTGTCATAACGTAACAATGATAAAGTATATTTTAATATGACGTTCTGTTAATTTATTTTTGTGTTGATTTCAATTGACGTGTCAGTATTCAACTCAAGCTGCTGTAGAGTAGACCTACAATTTCCTTTAATATTTTTGTGTATAAAACTACGTTAGATCGTGACCACTAAATATTATTTTGCATAGAATACAGATAAAAATGTTTTTGTGATCCATAAAACGTGTGAAATTGGTTTGTGAATAAATTACTTGAAAATAAAATTAACATCAATGTCAGCATTTAACTGATTTGACTGAAGGTAAGAATTTGAGTCAATCTTCATTAAAAATGCACGACTGTCGTTTATTTATTTATTTTTTGTAATTTTATTAAGTGTCCATGACTCGTATGAGGATTGACCTTCTGCAATGAAATGAAAATCGTAAATGTTAATAAATCTGCACCTACTGGTAGTATTTCATATTGTGAGCCCATACATGTAGATACTACAGTACCCTGCTTAATGTTTTTTTTTTTTTTTTCCTACCTATGCTGATAGCCTTGAGAGGCTATTTCAGCTTCACCCTAACGTGTGTAGGTGAGCTCACGGGGCTCAAACCGGAGAGTTGCTAACACTGACCCTAGCAAGAGCAGTGCTTCGCAGAATCTACCACCGGATCGGAAACGCGACCCACTGAGAAGATCCGGCGAGAAACTCAGTGGGCTGTGTCTAGGGGTTAATTCGCTCGTCGAGCCCTTCGTCGCAAGCGACGGGTTCGACGAGGACGGTGACCGGTGCTTGTGGTGCCTAAAAGCACCGTTAATGGATCGGGAGGATCCGTAATGACGTGCTTTGGGCGACGTCGACTGTTTACCATTCGGTCTACAGGATCGGGTATGTAGTTTCCAGCGGCCACGACAAGAGGGTTCTCATGTCGTGCCGCCTTCTCGAAATGGCGCAATGATGCCGACTGTAGATACTTACTGACAGAGTCGAGCTCTAGGTCATCGTGGAGATCCACGTTCCTCAGGAACCATGGTGCTCCGACGGCTATCCTGCAGAATCGGGATTGAATATGCTTAATGTACGTTGTTAGGTTGGGTTCACGCAGCATTATCATGCACGTTTATCTGCAGTATATGTCTTAACCAATGAATAGTGGCACATACATTGTACATAGAACCATTCAGGTTGGGTTCACACGGCATTGTCCTGCACGTTTTATTTGCAGTATACGCCTTAAAGAATGAATAGTGGCACATACATTGTAATGGAACCGTTCACATGTCGTTTGTACTGCAAAAAATCGTACACCGCTTAAGCGAATACTCAACGGAATTGTCAAGCAAATCGAATGAACTTTAAGGTTGCAGTGGCACATAGCTCTATCTCGTTCACACGTTCGATTTTACACAAATGAAAATCTACCGTGAATGTGACACACGGGTGACTGTACGTAAAGAATACAAATAAAATGTGCAGGACAATGCAGTGTGAGCCGAGCCTTACCGTATAGAGCAAGAGCCCGCAACAGCCAGACCTTCGTTATTTTATAAAAGCTGAAAGTTTCTCTGTGTATGTCTTCAACACAGGTAAGAACGACCCGCGATTATAGAGTTTCGATTGTGGTTACTTGGGCAGGTAACAGGCAGTAAAGGTATATAAAATAGTACCTTAAATTCGTTAAAGTATAAAGGTTTTTTTTTTTAATATTTACTCCAGAATATCTTTAGAAATCACGATATCCGTTGCCGGACACTTTTTCCAGTTGTTACCCCCTGCCAGACACCCCTNTAACAGGCAGTAAAGGTATATAAAATAGTACCTTAAATTCGTTAAAGTATAAAGGTTTTTTTTTTTAATATTTACTCCAGAATATCTTTAGAAATCACGATATCCGTTGCCGGACACTTTTTCCAGTTGTTACCCCCTGCCAGACACCCCTAAACTTTAATAAATTTTAATTATACTTTCTTTATACTATAAAAGCTAAGTTTTATATATGTTACTTAGGGACTTATAAAAATATGTTACCCCAATAGCCGAACAGTTTTAATGGTTCTTACATCTTGCCAGACACATTGAGAGCCCGCTGTAGGTGCGAGCGCGAGATAGCAACTGTTCAAGCGGGTGTGAGCGAGATAGAGTGCTTAGTCTATTGTGATCTTTTACTGCACATCAGCTGTCGTTTATAGGATTTATCCGTTCTAAGCAGTGATATCGAGGCACTACTCGGCATGGGAAGCTCTGTCATTCTGGCGGGCGACCTAAATTGTAAACACATCAGGTGGAACTCACACACCACAACCCCTAATGGCAGGCGGCTCGACGCGTTAGTCGATGATCTGGCCTTCGATATCATCGCTCCGCTAACCCCGACTCACTACCCGCTAAATATCGCGCATCGCCCGGATATACTTGACATAGCGTTATTAAAAAACGTAACTCTGCGCTTACACTCGATCGAAGTAGTTTTAGAGTTAGATTCAGACCACCGCCCCGTCATTATGAAGCTCCATGATGATTCCGTTCCCGTCACGAGGACTGTGGTGGATTGGCACACGCTGGGCATTAGCCTGGCTGAATCTGATCCACCATCGCTCCCGTTTAGCCCGGACTCTACCCCGTCTCCTCAGGATACCGCTGAAGCCATAGACATCGTAACGTCACACATCACCTCGACATTAGATAGGTCATCGAAGCAAGTTGTGGCGGAGGACTTCCTTCACCGCTTCAAATTGCCCGACGATATTAGGGAACTCCTTAGAGCTAAGAACGCTTCGATCCGCGCCTACGATAGGTATCCTACAGTGGAAAATCGTACTCGAATGCGTGCCCTACAACGCGACGTAAAGTCTCGCATCGCCGAAGTCCGAGATGCCAGATGGTCTGATTTCTTAGAAGGACTCGCGCCCTCTCAAAGGTCTTACTACCGCTTAGCTCGTACTCTCAAATCGGATACGGTAGTAGCTATGCCCCCCCTCGTAGGCCCCTCAGGCCGACTCGACTGAATAAGGCGATATTGATATCGCCTTATTCATCAGTTCAATATCGACGACAATGAGGAAAATTATAAGAACGATTAAATATTTTTCTTTGACATGTAATATTTTGTTTGTACTTTATAATATTAAAATAACCTTTTTTATTTTCTATAATATTGCTATGAACGTAATAAAATAATTTTTTTATTGGATATCTTAAAAGATCACAATAGACTAAGCACTCTATCTCGCTCACACCCGCTTGAACAGTTGCTACCTCGCGCTCGCACCTACAGCGGGCTCTCAATGTGTCTGGCAAGATGTAAGAACCATTAAAACTGTCCGGCTCTTGGGGTAACATATTTTTATAAGTCCCTAAGTAACATATATAAAATTTAGCTTTTATAGTATAACGAAAGTATAATTAAAATTTATTAAAGTTTAGGGGTGTCTGGCAGGGGGTAACAACTGGAAAAAGTGTCCGGCAACGGATATCATGATTTCTAAAGATATTCTGGAGTAAATATTTAAAAAAAAACCTTTATACTTTAACGAATTTAAGGTACTATTTTATATACCTTTACTGCCTGTTACCTGCCCAAGTAACCACAATCGAAACTCTATAATCGCGAGTCGTTCTTACCTGTGTTGGAGACATACACAGAGAAACTTTCAGCTTTTATAAAATAACGAAGGTCTGGCTGTCGCGGGCTCTTGGGCTAGTATACGATACATGCGTATCCTATCTAACATACGTTCCGAGTTGAAGGGTATATGGTTTATGTCTGTATTTACCTATATTAGTATTTTGTTATCTAGTTACGTATTGCTAAAAACAAATTATTGACATCAATTACAAGGATCGAAATTACAGCATGATCCATTTTTTTTTTTTCAAATCATTGTAATAAGTAAGCATTACAATTGTTTCTGTTTCAGTTCATCATGTCGAACGAAGACGCGATTGAGACAATTATAGGAGCATTCGGGAAGTACCAGACCTGGATAGCTTTTTTAATAATAATCGGCCGATATCCCGTCGAATATCAGTTGACCAATGTTGTATTTATTATGCCAAGTGTTGAATATATTTGCTTGGACGAAGGTGCAATGAACGCAACGAATTATTGCCCTTGTGAAAATCCTAAATACGATACGAGTACCATTGTAAGCTCAGTGACCACTGAATGGGATTTGATATGCGATAGATCATCTCTTGCATCTTTAGCGCAATCTATGATGCAAATTGGTATTGTGCCTGGAAGCGTGATCTTTGGACACATTTCTGACCGGTTTGTTTTAATCTACATAACTATGTGGCTCTGGTTGTTTTATACATAGATTTTTTTTTAAAGTACGCATAATTACCATATCTTCAGTCCTGTGGCCAGATAAACTTATTTATTCTTTTACATATTAAAATGAATATTATACGTATTCGTACTCATGTAATCAGATTCGGATATAAAATGGAGACGCGTATTATATACATTCATTAAATTGTTTTTCAAAATGACAAAATAATGATGACGATGATAACGTTTAGAAGTTCTGGTACACAAAGCTTATTTTAAGCTTTTTTTTATCTTATTGGCTTATTAAATTAATCATGTGTTTTCAGGTATGGCCGTAAAATAGCATCAATACTATCTTTATTCTTTCAAGTAGTAATAGTTGCCATATCGGCTGTAGTCCCTGAGTATTGGATGTTTCTCGTTTGCCGATTTGCTATTGGAATAACTGTTGGCGGAACAATGCTATGTACCTACGTCCTAAAAGTTGAATTAAGTGGGAAATCCTTTAGGCCATACCTAGTGGGTCTAGCAGAAGTTGCCTTCGTTACCGGATACATGACACTTCCAATAATAGCATACTTTGTTAGAGAATGGAGAACCTTGCAACTCGTAACTTCTCTTCCTTGGCTCTTTATTGGATTCTACTACTGGTTAATTCCAGAATCGCCACGGTGGCTTATATCGGTTGGCAAAAAACAAGAAGCAATCAAAGTACTAACCTACATCGCTAAAAAGTATGTATATGCCGTTTATAATGTTTTTTTACTATCCTAAATTTATTAACGAAATTCTCCGGAAGCAATTACTAGGATACCATTATTGTTTTCAGAAATAATCGACCTACAGATAACATAGAATCCATTATTGATAAAATCGAGGACGAAAAACCTGGATCAATGATGGATCTTTTCAGAACACCAAAAATAAGAGTCTACACTGTAATAGCGGCAATAGTTTGGATGCTGTGCGCACATACGCATTTCGGCATTAACCAATACATAGGACGTCTTCAAGGAAATGTCTATCTGAATGTATTTATCTCAGCATCGTGCCTAATACCAGCGACTATTTTGGTTGTTGTCGCTACTCTATATTTCAGAAGAAAAATAAGCATTGTGACCAATTTTACCCTAGTTGCACTATCATTGATTGTGATTATATTTATACCGGGTGACTTAACTGCAGTAAGAAATGCCTTTGCAATTATAGGTCAGGCAGGCGCATTTACATCTTTTGTTCAAGTATATTTATATTCTTCGGAAATTTTCCCTACAGTGATTCGAAATTCGGCTATGGGTTTCGCTTCAGTATTCGCCCGAATTGGAGGGTTCGTCGCTCCGTTCGTCGTTAATATAGGAATCGAATGGATCTCCATCACGATATTTAGCAGTTTGGCTTTATGCGCAGCTGGTTTGTGTTGCTTTTTCCCGGAAACTAAAGATATTACTTTAATAAATACAATTAAAGAGACCGAACGAGCTCAAGATAAAAGACAAGACCAGCGGCTGTGACAATGACAATACATTTACATTGTATGTCTAAATCGTAAATTATGATAAATGTACGACATAAGAGATATTAACTAATGTTATCAGATAATTTTACATTGCTTAGAACAATTAAGTGACACATATACACATTGTACATCACGTTAAAATCGATAAAAAAATGCATTTGTGAATGGATCTGCTATGGTTAAATATAGTTCAGTAACTTGCTTTTTTGATGAGAGCAGTTCATTTTTATAAGAAGATTTACTGTACAATCAATACGTAATAGCTAAACTAAGTGTAAACTTAATATTTTTGTGATACGTAGATATATATATATCATGAATCGACCCTCTTTATATTACTTGTCTTAACATTTAATTTATATGGAGCAATTTAAAGAGAACCGTCACTAATGGAAGCAAAAATGTCGATTTTTAGCCAACAAACTGCAAATTTCTGTAACTAAAAAAAATTCTCACATGATTTTTTTGGAATAAAACCACACCTTACATGATGACCTCTACCTCTGGCTCCATCCGTTTTCCAACGAACCTAGGATATTAGGATATTTTATAAGCTGTAACATGGTTGTGATTATAACCTTTCGTTCATGAAAATATTTATCTTAACGTGTAATGTTATATACAATTGCAGTTCATTTTAGTTAAGTCTGTAAGTTTTTTTTCATTCTTTGTCATTAGATCAATTTGTTTATTACCAGTGATGTTGATTTTATTTACGTTTAGTGATGGTGATATTTTCGACGATTTAAATCCTGTTTTAGTATTGATATTCTACTGCTATTGAGCAAACTTACAGATTTAAAGAGATATTTAGTTATAAAAATATTTACACTGTGAGAATAATTTTTATTATTATGTATATTAAAGAAACTAATTCGTATCGTAATAGTAGTCGAAATTTTTTCAAATCGAAATTATAGTTGAAGTCGATTCGTTTTATTATTTTTTCGTTGTTTTTATTCGTTTTATTATTTTTGTTTGTGACTGTTATTTTTTCATTTCCGATACATTTAGCTGTCTTAATTTTTCTGTTAAAGAATTGTTCGTAAGAAGCTTAATTCGTAACTCGGTTGAATATCACTCGGGTTTGAGTTAGGCCCGTGAATTGAATTCGTGATTTCGATTTCTATGTATTTTTATGATATAAGTAACTATACTTGAGACCTTAGAACTTATATCTCAAGGTAGGTGGCATATTTACGTTGTAGATATCTATGGGCTCCAATAACTACTTAACACCAGGTGGGCTCGTCCACTCATCTAATCAATTAAAAAAAATTAAATAGAATAATAAATCAATAAAGATAATCATTTAAAATTATTCCAATGATCGGGGCAATCTTGATACATAGCGTATTTTTGTTATTGTAACATTTGTAACGCTAATTAAATAGCAGTTAGACACAGTTTCAAAGGTAAGATTTCCTAATTATTGGATCAATATGTTTGTGTTGTGCGTTAGTTGAAAATTTAATTGCTTTTTTACTAAAAAGATTTTTTACTAAAAAGGACGTGAGTTTCTTCAAGAAATATATAAATGAATTCAAGTATCTTCACGGAGAGTTTGTTCGTATTCTATGCAATCTTCAATCAGATTAAACTTATGCTCTGTATAGTCGTTGTTGGCATTATCAAAGAGCGACAGATAGCGCGCGAGTGGTTTCAACAAATAGGTGTTTTCATTCAACAATAGTCACAGTTCAGCGTGACCGATATTCACTAGTTTAGTGTAAAATGTATAACAGTATTTAACTGCACATAATTATTTTCAATTTCTTCTACTCATGGCGGCTGATGACGCAATAGAAACTACAATAGGATCGTTCGGAAAGTATCAAACGTGGATTCTTATATTAATAACTTTAGGGCGATATCCCGTTGAATTTCAATTGGTCAATATTGTATTTATTATGCCCAATGTTGAATATGTTTGTCTCGATGATGGTGCATTAAACAGAACGAATTATTGCCCTTGCGCAAATCCCAAATACGATACTAATACCATTGTGAGCTCAGTGACCACGGAATGGAATTTAATCTGTGACAGAACATCCTTAGCATCTTTAGCACAATCTATAATGCAAATTGGTATTATACCCGGAAGCGTGATCTTCGGATACATGTCTGATCGGTTAGTGACTTCATTTAATACTGACAAAACTTTTATTTTTATTTTTAAATCTTTATTAATTTAGCTAATGCTTCTGAAAGTTTAAATATGAAACATTTTTTTCACTTTTTCAGGCACGGCCGTAAAATAGCATCGTTACTATCACTGTTTTGTCAAGTACTAGCAGTGGCCATATCCGCTATAGTAACCGAGTATTGGATGTTTGTCGTCTGCCGTTTTGTTATTGGAATTACCGTTGGAGGCACAATAATATGTACCTACGTATTGATAGTTGAATTAAGTGGGAAATCTTTTAGGCCTTACCTAGTGGGCCTATCAGAAGTTTCCTACGTCACTGGATACATGACACTTCCGATAATAGCCTATTTCATTAGAGACTGGAGGACCCTGCAGCTTGTAACTTCACTTCCTTGGTTATTTGTCGGTTTTTACTATTGGTTAATTCCAGAGTCACCACGATGGCTCATATCAGTTGGTAGAAAAAATGAAGCTATAAAAATACTCACTTACATTGCCAAAAAGTACGTGTTTATGTGAATAATATTGTTTAATTTTTAAAATAGTACCTACACGGCCCGAGATATGGTGGGCTCTGTATACGATTTTTTTCCATGCCATCTCGTAATGTTTTGAGGTACCCGTATGCTAATATCCAAACAAACAATGTGTAAGTACCTCGGACATATATGAGAGGCAGGGGCTCGACTGTATCCCTATTGCTGATGTATATGAGCGATAAAGAGCTACTAACCAGGTGGGCCGTGTCTCTCGACAATGGCATTCTAAAATGATTTTCGCGTAAAATTTTGTAAAATATGCTTTTTTGCGTAATCACTTTTTTTTTCTACACAAAAGATAATTAATTCACTGCAAAACTTATTTCAAATCATACTTTTTCGAGATATGAGAAATAGATTGACGTAAACATACATTCAATAGTTACTCGTTTAATAAAACAATGATATGTTTAATTTTTCTGGCTTAATCTGATTTTACAATAAAATTGTTCACAGAAATAAGAGGCCTACGAACAATATCGCAACTATAGTCGACAATGTAGAAAACGAAAAGCCTGGATCAGTAATCGATTTGTTTAAAACATCTAAAATCAGAATGTATACTATAATATCAGCTTTAGTTTGGATGCTATGTGCACATACATATTACGGCATTAACCAGTACATAGGAAATTTACAAGGAAATTTGTATTTAAACGTCTTCATCTCAGCGATTTGCCTTATACCAGGCATTGTTTTAGTCGTGATTGCCGCCCTATATTTCAAAAGAAAAAAAAGCATCATAGCGAGTTTCACAACAGTAGCTGTATCGTTAGTTATAATTGAGTTTATTCCAGGGAAATCAACTACAGTGGATATTGCGTTTGCAATCATAGGTCAGACAGGGGCGCGGAGTGTTTTCGTCCAAATATATCTGCACTCTTGCGAAATTTTTCCTACAGTGATCAGGAATTCTGCTATGGGATTTTCTTCAATTTTTGCTCGAATCGGAGGCTTCGTCGCTCCGTTCGTTGTTAATATTGGAATCGAAGGGGTTTCGGTGGCTATCTTTTGCAGCCTAGCCGTCTGTGCAGCTACGTTGTGCTGTTTTCTTCCCGAAACAAAAGGGATTGTTTTAAAGAACACAATTCAAGAGACAGAACAATGTCATGCCAGAAAGAAATCTGACCATGCCGAGAAAACTGCAGATAATACATGTATCTAAATGATATCATATAAAAGACTCGAGCACTCAATAAACCGCCCTAAAACCTTCGAGAAAACGGTGTCGTTAGATCTTGTAAAATATTGTGTTAAAGGATTATTAATTAAATAGATAACAAGAATATTATAAATATCTTATTTACTTTTATTTACAATTAAAATTTTGGCAAAATAGAGAATTCACAGACAATTCATTAAATAACTTAATTTAAAAAAAAAAACAAGAACTTAATTTACTCACACAAATATTAAAATATCTATACATTTATGGTGTTTCATTTTTGAGTAGCCTGTATTGAATGTTCTGAAAACCACCTAAATAACATGTTACTATCACGAATAATACACTATGGTACAAAACCCAAAATTGAAACATTACACTGCAATATATAGCGTAGGTAAATAATAAATTTACAATTGTCCAAAATGTAAAGCCTGCTTTAGCTACGATCATCGAACGCGGGGATCTGTATGCGGGAGGTTTCGTTGTTTCTAAATCTATGAAATTACCTGTGAAAAACAAACAGTGAACGTAAAAAGGCTTGCCTCCCAAATCTTCCTCTCGATTATATTTATCGCCCCGGACATGATTNCAATATATAGCGTAGGTAAATAATAAATTTACAATTGTCCAAAATGTAAAGCCTGCTTTAGCTACGATCATCGAACGCGGGGATCTGTATGCGGGAGGTTTCGTTGTTTCTAAATCTATGAAATTACCTGTGAAAAACAAACAGTGAACGTAAAAAGGCTTGCCTCCCAAATCTTCCTCTCGATTATATTTATCGCCCCGGACATGATTACTGATATAATGGTTATCAGGGATAAACAGCATTGGCGTAGCAGCGTACCTACTCGTATCAAATAATACAAATCTATCTCGGCTTCGAAGGCAGACGACGAGCTTTAAATTCTAGACATACTAAATACGTACTTCAAAAATCGTGATTACAAGCAAAATTTTGCAATCAAGGTATAAAATCGTGTAAAAAAAATGCAATCGGGTCGGTATCGCAGTCGGATCCGTTTGTCATACCTAAAAATCGCTCGCTCATAAATTATTGAGCATGATTATTTTTTTTGACCATTTTCATCTTTTCTTATCTTTTTGTACTTTTTTTTTTATTGCCCTTGTAGGCAGACGAGCATACGGCCCACCTGATGGTGAGTGGTTACCGTAGCCCATGAAATGATTTTCAAAAAAATTTGAAATGAAATTCAATGCCTCTTTTGAAAACTATTATGATAAATTCAATAGTGAGTCTTAATGTTACGGAATTATCATTCGACTTTTAAATTTCGACTTCAACGCTCCAGTTAAAAATTGAAATTTATAAATATAAATTTATAGGGTCGATGGTGATATTCAGGTTGTGATATCTATAGGCTCTTAAAATCACATTACACCGTACACACGTTTGTATATCCACTTACGCAACAAATAAAAATATATAGCATCGTGAATTGTGTTTGGCGTTCAACAATAAGAAGAAAAAAAAATTGAGTTAAAATTAATAAAAAATTAACTTCTTTTAGTGATTAAAAATACTCATAGCCGGGTGAATCAAGTTTAGTTACCTTCTTTATGAAATTTACGAAGACTAATTTCCTTTTCACCCCATCTATCGTTTAACCATTTCTTTAAATCTTCCTCATTGTATGGTATTTTATCTATCGAATACCTGCAATATAATAAATCCACTGATAATGAATGTCTGCGAATAAAATTTTAATTGATGCTTGTAAAAAATATTGCATTATTAACAAACCACTCTATCTAATTCAATACGATGACTTGAAATTTTATTAATTTAATATTAAATTCGAAAAAAATATTAGTAGTAATTCTTATAGTCACGCATTTTTTTACTGATTAGGTGCAACAAAACTCATACAGTACGAACGTATATTTTGTATTGCGTGTGTGTATCGAGTCACGAAAGCCTGCTTTGCAAGTAAATTTTTTGCTCAATTTATTTATTTTATTCCGAAGACTCGAAAAGAATAAAGTAAGTACCTTTTAAAATGAAAGTACACATTTTTAGGTATGTTTCCTTTGGCCAGATCGAGTTCGGTCTGTGCGGGGTTATCGTAGGCTAGGGTGACATCGTATACCGAAGCGAGCCCGGTTCCTCGAAGCCGTGAGCACAGCGCTGACCATCCAGTCAAACGAGGGTGTAAGACAAAGTCATATTTCTGTGAAGAGACAAAAACTAAAACGTTAAGAAAATTATGTACCTAACCGTACTCAGCTTAGCCACGTCATTTCGGACCCTCCCGATCCACTAACGCTGCTTTTAGATACCGGTCAAGCACCGGTCACCGTCATCCTCGAACCCGTCACTTGCGACAAAGGCTCGACGACTAAATTAACCCACAGACACAGCCCACTGAGTTTCGCGCCGGATTTTCTCAGTGAGTCGCGTTTTCGATCCGATGGTAGATTCTGCGAAGCACGGCTTTTGCTAGGGTTCGTGTTAGCAACGTCGTCAGGTTTGAGCCCCGTGAGCTTATCTACTAGTTGAGAGTACGCTGAAATAGCCTCTCAAGGCTTAAGTAAAAAAAAAAGCTTAGCATGGTGGCAGTGGTGACCTTTAAAATGAAGAGAAGAAACTATTGTGACAAAGTAGTACCTACGTCCTAAGAATAAATAATAAGCCTACGTCAAGAAAAAATATCTACTGTCATACTTACTGCCCAGCTCTATCTGTCCAAGTCATGAATTTTGGTTTGAAAAATGATGTAACTATTATACTAATTGAGACTTTCATCTCAACTCTCAAAGCGGATAGCGGAAATAATTTTGCTAATCAAGGGCCCCGGTGAACACTTAATATCAGCTAAGCCGTGAGCTCATCTGCCCATCTAGAATCATAGCAGAAAAAATTGGCCTTTCCTACCAATCAAATAATGTGTTTATTGTGTTTGAGACCATTTCAAAGAATCGATTTTTGTGTTGGTGACCAAATTCTTTATTTATGAAACCTATCTTTTATTCACCTTCAGATGACGATAAATTTCTGCAATCTATGTACTTTTATCATAGCACTCGATGAATAGACTGATTAGATTGAAAACCGATACCTGATTCTCAAAAATCAAAAAAGCCGTAGTCTACTTTTTACACGGAATAGATAAATAATACATTCCGTTAATTTTTTGACCAAAAAAACTCATATATTTTGGACTTGTCATTAGCATTTATTGGATTCGACAATTTAACAATATTTATTAGATTAATTATGCAAGCTATCCCAATGGTCGAAAATCGATAAAAATTACTGATATAAGATTAAAATACATTTTATATATTGATTACATTTTCCCTTTTTTGCTATTGATATTTTGATAATTAGCAATTTTTTCTAATTGTACACGAAAGTACAATATAAAGCCCAACAGCTGGTAAATAAAATAAAAAGAAAATCGGTTGACAAACAAAGATTAAAATGTTAATATATTGTCTTTATCCATTTTGAATTAAGAATAATATATACAGTGGTGGTCATATAATTATAAACACTTCTTATGAATAAAGAAAGTATAACTTCGTGAAAAATATACACATTCAATAATTAATAATCATGCAATAATATGGCCACTAAAACAAAAACTCATTAAATGCATAAAATCTAAAATATATCTTGCTTTTAATTACAAAATGAGTCTTACACGTGTAGGAGTTTATTTTATTTTACTGGTCGCCTGGACGCCCAATTAGAAACATTTAAAAAAAGCATCCATAGCTCGTTCTTTTTTCTGAAATTGGAGTATAACATTTTTTTCTTGGCTTTTTATATTATTTGGCGGCAATACCAAATTTTATCTGAATTTTATCTTGTTCAAAATGAGCAAAAATAAAAATTGTAACGCGTCAACTAGGCAAATGATTGTTAATTTAGATCTAGATCATAAGTGGGCGTACAAAAGAATAGCTGAGCATTTAAATTGTTCTGTTAAGAATGTTTTTAATGCAATTGATCGTTATAAGACACTTGGAACAGTTGACAATTTTCTTAGAAAGGCTCGGCCGAGAAAAACCTCTCCCAGAGAAGATACGCTAATCGTTCGTGTTGCTAAAAAGACCCAATTTAAAGGCTCCAACCAGAATTAAAATGAAGTTTTTTCGCCTGATGACCCGCGAAACACCTCGTCAAGACTGATATGCAAAATATTAATGGAAGCTAAATTGTTTTTTTTTATTGGCCTTCTAGGCAGATGAGCATACGTCCCACCTAATGGTGAGTGGTTCCCGTCGCCCATGAACTTCAGCAATGCCAAGGGCAGAGCCAAGCTGCTGCCTACCGAGAACCTTTGTTTTGAAGAACCTCTCGAAAGGTACCGCTTCTTACCTAAGCAACACCGAGAGAAGCGATTATAAATTATTATTCGCTAAAAAATATGTTAATAATTGGAAGGTACGAGAATGGAAAAAAGTGTTCTTTTCATATGAAACAAAAATAAATATGGTAAATTCCGATGGAAAGCGCTATGTTAGACGTCCTGTTAACAATGCTTTTAATTATAAATACAGAAGGAGTATAGTCAAGCACGGTGGCGGTAGCATTAAAGTTTGGGAGTGTTTTTCCGGATGTGGAGGAATAGGTCCACTATTCGGAAGATTGAAGGTACAATGGATCAATGGCAATACAAAAATATTTTAGAACACACAATTATTCCCTGCTCGGTTCCTTAATGATCCCTAATGATCCCCCTACGACCAATAGCGTCAAATGTTTTCTTAGCGAATAGCGTATATCCGTTTTAGATCGGCCAGCAAATAGTCCAGATTTAAACCTGATAGAAAACTTCTGGTATATTGCTAAAAAGAAAGTTGCAAACAAACGTAACACCAGCCAAAACGAACTATATGAAGCATTTGTTGAAGCATGGAGTTCATACTCCTAGAAAAATGTATGAACTTATAACTATTGGTAGGCTATGGATAGTACCTATTTCGTAAATAACAATACTAATACTTAAAAATTGTTATAAATATTGTTTTTTATACTTTTTTGTTGTAGTTTCTAATTAATTGACCATTGTGGTTCATACTTTAAAACTGATAAAAATGTTTGTCCGTAATGTAATATTGAAACTGCACTTGTGTAGTAGGATTTATATTGTTTTTCTAATAAATGATAAATCGTTGAACGTATTGTTGTCCTATTTATTGTTTAATTTCAAAATAAAACGATTGCGGTGAATTATCTTAAATAATGTCAAGGACCATTAGTAGTGTTTCTTATTATACGACTACCACTGTATACATGTATATATTAGTAATATAAATGTAGCAGATTTCTCTAATAATGAAAGAGAAAGCGATTTATAATGAAATACAATTTGATCCTTTCACTTTTGAAGTTTTGGAAAAATTAAAAATCTTATGTTTTTAATGTCGAGAATTCTTTGTGCAGTTGGGCGACCATAATCATGATCGTCATAGCTTCGTACATTCTTGCAATGCGTGTCTCTGAATAATAGCAGTTATAAAATACATTACACTTATGTTTGATATCATTTTATCACTTATTCTATCTACTGTATTAGCAAATAGATAAAGCATTGAAATATTTTAAATTTTAAACTTGTACCGCGGTCAGTGTCATATATTTTTAGGTTAACAATTACGGGTATCGTTATATGTATGGTACTGTCTAATTTCCCGATTTAGCTAGTTACTCTAAATATATCCCTATGGATTAAGTGCAAGTGACTTTCTCGTTTGTGCCAATGGAAGAAGTAAATAAATAGAAAAGAGTGATGTATACAAAAAAGGCTAGCTTAGTTAAATCGATAATAATAAAGTTAATAATAATAATAAGCTTGATCATATAATAAACAACTTACAGGCAAATTGTGAGCAACAGCAAAACTGTCGCTTCGAATTTTATTGCTCTCGCTCAAATCCGTACCCTCGGGGAACAAAACCAAGCGATAATCGTATTTCAAACTTTTATAGTAGTCTACAAACTGATTCAAATTATTGTTATCTTCTTGCCAATTTCTCTTCACGTACAAAAAGAAGTTTAGTTGCATTATCCACCCTGAAAATTTATTTATTCATTATGCAAAGTCAAAGTCAAACCGAGAAGAAAGACAAACAGAGAAGGTTAACAACAAAGCTAAGAACTTCCACCGAGCGGGTGAAATTGCTCGGTAGACCGACGGTCCCAATGCTATTTTTCGGAACCTATATATCTGGAAGCTTATCTTGAAAATATCTTTAGCGATATTAAGGCATCTGTCAAATATTAAGCGTACTATAATGGCCCTGCTAACACATTTGTTATAAAACGACATTGATAAACATAATAAAGCTTAAAAATTGAACGTTGTATTTCGGTTAACCATCATTAACAGAATTTTATTGATAACTGTAATACATACAATCGTTACACATCACCAAACTTACCTATTGCCGGAATGTTTTTGATTCCGTCTTTTAAAACGATTTTGATTTTTGATTTCCCTCCAATATCGAAAACACTTCCAGGTTCCTCTAAACCATTTAATTGCTCTTTACACACACGACAATCTTCATTTGGATTTTGCGTAGCGTGATATAAAGCGATCCATACATAATTCCAATCAACCCTGGTTCGATGATTCATTATCATGATTGTTTTTTCATTAGGATTGACATAATCGCCGAAGTGATGTAATTTCGTAGAGTAACAACATTGGAAAAGCGCCTACGTTAATAAATTAGTTAAGTTAGATTTTTCTGTTTAATTAATGCTCTTAATGACTGGCCACTTTGCTGATATTTTATTTTAGCATTATATGAATGTAATAGGGATTGGTGAGGATGCATCTACAGGTAATTATTCATAATTAACAACCTACTGGTAATTTGTAATGTTAATGGCTCCTGGGAAGTCTTCAACGTGAGTAAATTCAAAACTTTTCTATCTTCAAATTAAATGCAATAGTAAAAATTAATGAACAGCAATGATTATTTTAAATAACAGAAACGAAAACTTGTTCGCTAAATTGATAATTAATAAAATACTTTAAGAATGAAATGTTTTAAAAAACATATACATAATTATACTCCATGATTTTGTAATAATTCACTGCTAATTTTATTCATTTATTTATTTGACTCTATGTATAAAACATAATTCTAAAGTATTCTCTATCAGTCGACCAAGTCAGAATACTTGTATAAATCACCGGTATGTGCATTGCTATGTTATAATAGTTTTGATTTTATAAATTCAAGTAAAATGCATTAACCTACAATTAGGTATAACTCCAACCTCGTGATTGTATCAAGTCGGGTAGCACTGAAATTATAATATTAAAGGGCTCCCTGTAAACACTAAACACTACAAAAGCTTGATTTGTCCATATAAGTTAAGAAAAATAGGAAAGCATTGGAAAATTTATGAATTTTTCGGTATATTTATTTAGTCTGATCTATTTATCTACAAAACTGATTTTTTAAATATACAAAAACCTTGGGCAATTTCCGAGTGCGCCTTCAAAAAGTTATTAGCAAAACAGTCTACTTACTTACTTAAATAAGATTTCTTAATATGACTAAAGGCTCACTTACCACGGGAAACAATTCCCAAAGTTCAAACAATGCGTCAACAACTTTTCTGTACAATCTATGATTGATAAACATAAGATACAGAACAGGACAATACAGGATATAAAAACCTGAAAAAAGGAAACTTTTAGTCGTCTAGCATGTTCTTTTGTAGGGGAAATTTATGTTAATTACCTGATATTATGGTATAGTACCAGACGACGCAGAGTAGGGACTCTACCGCCATGGCGCCAAAGACTAACTGACGAGGAGAATTCCGAAGCCTTAGTTGTAACGAAGATTAGAGCCCCTACAGTACCGTTAAGTACTTTTACGTCACCCTTCACAAATGCACACTATTCTACTATTTTTAAGCAAAGGTCAGTTTTGTAGATAAAATATTTTGAATTTAATTCAATGCCTCAGCCCTACGGCTCATTTACGTCTGAGTCTTAAATGATTTAAAATATGTAGGTATGTATTTAACTTAAAATTAATATTAGTACAGTTGGTAGTGATTTATTTCAATAACCTTGATTAAAAAATTAATTATGTTACGTAATTAATTTATGAATACCAATTTAAAAATAAAATACGGCAATTAATCAAGTTATTTCATTTCCGTTCGGATTTCTTGTCCGAGATTTTCCAAATGCCTCACCTTCTTCAATGGTGGTCATTAGTTCACAGTCTTTCGTTTCTGGCAGTAAAATACATAAGAGAGCCGCCACGAGAGGGAATATACCAAAGCCCACCGGAGCGCACCATTGGCCGTAAGGCCTCAGTGCCGCCACAAAAGGCGCAATCATTGAACCCATTCGGGCAGACATCGACGAAATTCCGATGGCTGCGTTACGCACAACTGTCGGAAACATTTCCGAACAGTACAAGTACACGATAACTAATAGCATGAACGAAAACATAACTCCGATACACCCGAAAACAATAGAAACTATGCCCTCGGGTACGAAAGCAATTATCAGTATTGATATGCTGCATATAACGTTTCCCAGTATTACAATGGTCTTCCGATTCATGAACTTCAATATGGGAATGGCTATCAAACAGCCACATAAACAAACACACCCCATAGCAGCTACATTTATAAATATATCTCCAGTTAGGTGACTGATATAAAAAGTGACACCATAAAAACAATAACTGCTGACAAGCCAGTTAAACGACATAATCAAGATGTTTTTCCTCAAATTTGGCGATCGAAACAATTCTAAAACCGAACTTTTCTTTGGTTTATGTTCTAATTGAAACAGTTCTATCTTAGTTGAGATATCCTCAATGTCCATATTGTTCCTGTAAAACAATTATAATTTAATATAAATTATGCTAACTACTTTAACTGTAGCATAAAAATTTCATAATAGTCAACGTGGCTTAAAAGATAAGACGCCCGGTATTATCACATCAAGCGACGTCGGTGTTCAAATCCCGCAGGCAGATAGGTACCAATTTTCCTATTGAAATACATACGTAATAAAATCAATGCCGCTGAAATTTTAATTTGTATAATTTCTCATGGTAGGGGGTAATGCAAGCTCGCATTGGTAAACTCCCATGTACAATCAATCAGCCTATTTCTCCCGCGAAATAGACATGCAGTCCGGTTCGAATCATGGTACAGCCATTATACAATACAATGAGAGTTAGAACTCATGTTTCAAAGTGTGTGGCTTTATTCACATCCTTATATCTATGGGACTAGATAAATACTTGTCACTAGGTGTGCTGTAAGCTTAACCCATCAATTCTATAAAAAATATCTAAGTAAAGAAAATAATTACGTTTTAGCAATTCGTTCAATTAAAGTGATGGCCTCAAAAGTTTTATTCACGGCCAACAACCATCTCGGTGACTCTGGTAATACACATATGTAAATCAGCAGGAAAACGTTGACCACAGATATGGCCAGCTGGTAGTACATATAATCTCGTATGTAATATCCAAACAGTGCCAGCAACATGTGACCAAGAGTAAACGGAACATGGTAGAGCGCTGATATTACGTATCTGATGTCATTCCCAACATATTCCATAACGATTACAAACCCCACCACCATTATACCACCCACAGAGATTCCTAGAATCATTCTGATAATGGTGAAACTCCAAAAATCGGGCATAAACGATGACATTATTCCAGTAATCACTTCAAGAACTACAGATGTAATCAGTGTAGACTTTCTGCCGTATCTGAAACAAAAGCAAACAGCATCAGTACATTAGCAAGTGATTTTTACACAGTGACTTGCTATAAATATTTCTCATACTAACCTGTCAGATATGATACCGAACACTAAGCTGCCAAACAGAACGCCAAATTGAAACAAAGTCTGCGTGATGTCTTTGAGGAAACTCTTTTCACAAATCAAGTTCCACTCAGTTACAATTGTTCTTGTAAACAGTGATGTATTATAAGCCGGACTATCACAGCATGTAGCGTTTCCCGGGCAATAGTAAACAGCTGGTGGAGCCAAAAATACAATTGCCATTTGATGAAAAGCAACACCGAATTTATTGGCGAATATCAAAACGCATATCCAAAACTGATACTTTCCGAATTTGCCTATTAACTCGCTAATTATCATTGTTTTTCTATTTAATTATGATATTGTTTTTATTCATTAACCTAGTTAGTTTTACAATAAAACTTACAATAACGTTTAACTCAAGTAGGCCACTTTTTATTTTTANACAGCATAAAACAATAATAGAAAAACAATTAAAAAGTAAAATGTATTATGACCAACATTGTAAAGAGCAGCCGGAGCTAAGTGTCGGCGATGATGTAATTATGTTAGAACATAATAATGAACGAATGCGCGGCACTGTCGTAGGCAAGGCATCTGCACCGCGTTCATACATTGTAAAAAACAAATTAGGTATATATCGACGTAATCGCCGACATTTAATTAAAAATATGCCTGATGAGAAACCTAATGTTGTGGAAAAGCTGAAGAATGATCGGCGCGGCACAATAGTGATCGTATCAGACGAGTCAAGTGGGGGAGAATATGAGATGAGTGTGGATGAGGATGGTTCAGTGTACGAACCGAGTACTTTGTCATCACCTTCATCACCTCATATTTATCCGCCTACTACTCGTAGTAGAACTAAGCAGAATGCAATTAATAATAATTAACCTCTGATTTTATGTTTATCTTGTAACACACTTATATTGTAAAAGGGGAAGATGTTGAGGGTATATTGACAGTAATTAATAAACAGTTGTCAACGGTACTCTGAAGTTTCAATACACAACAGATGCTCTAATTCTAATCCGCACGTTTGTGGAGCTAGTTACGTATATTGAAATAAGTGTTGCATATGTTTACAAAGATTGTTTAAAACAAAAAATTGAATTCAACTTATTTTCTACACTTGGCCATTGTCAATGAAGCTAAGATTTCAATAGGTTAATCAAGCAAAATAGACGAATTTGTTGGTACATATCCCATTCGTGTAACGCTTAGGCCCAAAATGGGGTTTCTCCTTTAAAAAAAAATTAATCTCGCACCTTTGAAATCGCAATAAGTTGCTGCGTCTCGACTAAAATAGGTAGTATGTATTTGTGTACCTGGACCTGGTAGCCTGATATAAATAATTATATATAATTATATTTTGAGAATTTTTTGGTCGCAAACTCCTAAGATGTGAAAATGAACACAACAGTTAGTAACGGTTATTAAAAACAGTATTACAAAACACCTTCAATAAATGACCGACAGAACTGAGTTTACCTTGTACTCAACCTCTGGCGCCAACTTCGATCAATAATAGTACGGCGCCAAGTTATTATTGGCATTCGTATGAATCATTATTATAATTCAACTTGATATGGTAGGTAAAATGCCGGGATTCATATTCTAAGGGAGATTATAAGTATGCACATACGTATCGAACACGTGCTCACCGTAAATTATTAATGTGTAGAAGAAAAATGCTTAATTACTGGCATTGCGTTCGTACCGTTTGAAGGGCGGGGCAGCCGTCGTAATTATACTGAGACCTTAGAACTTATATATTAAGGTGGGTGGCGCATTTACGTTGTAGATGTCTATGAGCTCCAGTAACCAGTTAACTCCAGGTGGGCTGTGAGCTCGTCCACACACCTAAGCAATAAAAAAAAAATCACCACTTGACTATTTCTACCGCAAAGTAGTCACGTGTTCCCGTTTCGAAATGATCGAACAGCCAGTAGGTACATTTGAGACTCCGATATGAACTCCTCAGCATTCGCGTTATGAAGTTTACGGGATCCGGTGACCCCGGAAGTAAGTAAGGTGGGCTAGTCTGCCCAACTGCAGCAGCTGTAAAAAAGTACGTGCATCGTAAACGAGCGAAGACGGCAAGCGTTAAATGTTTGGAAAAAATATTTGTCAATTTAATCTTTTTCTTTGATCGTGTTTAGAACTATCGACACTACAAATGATAGTTTTTGAGAACGATTTCCACAAATCAAGCAAGTCTGTAGACCGTGTCACATGATCATGCGGCCAATAATAATCTCACATGTTCTGAAAATGTATATCATCACCCACACCAATCTCTCGCAAGGTTCTTTGTTATCTAATACTTGTGTTATTATCTCATTCTTTCCATGTTTTCCTCTATTAAATAAAATGCCTTAAGCCGATGTTGGTTCTGTAGATTGACGTTGATTTTAAAATGTTTACATTTAAACCCCTCTGTCGAGAAAGCGGTTAGGAGATAGCATTATTACTTAATATTACTTAATATTGCTATTTTTTCTGATAGTTTTACCATTTAAATGTTGTTGAATATTATTATTTTTTATTGCCCTTGTAGGCANAAGATGAAATCGAAATTCGTATACAAAATACCCTACGATGCAGTGCAGCCCTACACCCGGTTCTCTCTTCGAAGCTACTAAGCAGGCGCACCAAGATTCGGATATACAAGACTCTAGTCAGACCGATCCTATTGTATGGATGCGAAGCATGGACGCTCACACAGAAAGAAGAGGCAAAACTTCTCGTGACGGAGCGAAAAGTATTGAGAAAAATACTAGGACCAGTTCGGAAAGAAGACGGTTCTTGGCACGTCCGGAAAAATAAGGATGTGGAGAGGCTTTTTGGTGAGCCAAATATCCTGGGGGAGATGAAGGCACGGAGGCTCGGATGGCTCGGACATGTAGTACGTATGGAGCAGGATCGGGCTGTGAAACGGGTGTACACGGGTGTACCGGAGGGACGCCGCCCCGTAGGGAGGCCCAAGTACCGCTGGTGTGACGCTGTGGAAGGAGATTTATGGGAGCTCCAAGTGTCGGACTGGCAAGGTGTTGCGCAGCGCCGGGATGAATGGCAAAGTTTATTGTCGGAGGCCAAGACCCACTTCGGGGTCATAGCGCCAGCTCAGTAGTAGTAGTAGTAGTAAACATTGACTTAGGTGCTCCACAATAACTCGCTGAAATTTGAATCTAAGCTAAATAGCTCAGACGTTGAGGAGCTTAGTACAAAAATAGACACACAAAACTAAAACAGTTTTTTTTTGTGATTTAATTAAGGAACATTATAGATTTTTGTCTACTTCCTTAATCGGATGAGCACACTTACGTCCTCTAGTCGGTGGCTCATAGACATATCAAAGTGAATGGTCGACCTAATCCACCTTGCCGTAACATAAAGCCAAAGAACCCTAAAGGACAAGCCCGAAATCCATACAAACTTGGGCCTGGCGTTACAGTGCTAGAATTTGGGCATAAGTTACAATACCTAAGAAGGTTTCATGAGCCCAATTTTCAGGTCTCCCAGCAATGGCCAAATTGGTAAAATCAGACATACATAATGGGAAACGCGCTGCGCACGCAATGATTTTTTAAGGGATTTTATAACCTGGTAACTAAGACCTTTAGGTCAGTCTTATTTTAATTTTAATGAAAACTTTTTATATGAAAAACTATATTTATATGATAACTTTTTTATATAAAATATAAATCATTACCTGCTCCCATATTATCTCATCACATTTCATTTTATTTCATGCCTTTTTTATTTTTATTTTTTATTGCTTAGATGGGTGGACGAGCTCACAGCCCACCTGATGTTAAGTGGTTACTGGAGCCCATAGACATCTACGACGTAAATGCGCCACCCACCTTGAGATATAAGTTCTAAGGTCTCAGTATGGTTACAACGGCTGCCCCGCCCTTCAAACCGAAAAGCATTACTGCTTTACGGCAGAAATAGGCGGGCGGGAGGCGCGGACTCACAAGAGATCCTACCACCAGTAAAATTATTAATGTAACTACACTATAGAAAAACTCAAAGTACCAAATCGACTTTTTCATGTTATATTTAAGATTGCCAGTTAAAAATATTTTGAATTACCGCAGTTGCCGACATGATTTCGTGTCATAACTAAATGGCACAGTTATTTATTTCTTTTAATGATTTTTGTTAGTAGATTTTGGTGCTTTACGTTACGTTATTCAATGAGATTAAGTTTATAGTCTGGCCAGCGAATCATGGCACAACCAAATAGCGGCAATCCAAAATATCTTCAGTTGGCAACATTAAAGATAACATAACACGATTTGATACATTTGTGTTTTTCTATGGCATAGTCACTTAATATAAAAATGCAAAACTACCCTTTCATGCTTTAATGTTGTCAGTTGTAGATATTTTGAATTGCCGCCATTGTAAGTAGTTGTGTCACGATTCGATGGCCATACTCTATTTACATTGATTAAAATACCTATAAAAACAGTCATTTATCCTAAAGCAAAAGAGTATTAATTATTTTTTACATTCGATTTCCACTAAATCGATCCTATTTTATGGATGCTGTTGAGGGTATATTGACAGTAATTAATAAACAGTTGTCAACGGTACTCTGAAGTTTCAATACACAACATGGTGACAGCGGTGATTTTTTAATCGTAAAAACTGTTTAAAATAATATTTAAGTGCATTATTTCGCGTTTAAGTGTCGTAATAAATACGAATTTTGTTTTTTCGTAATGGAACACGCCCGACCACCGTCAGAATTGAGTNTTTTCCTCTATTAAATAAAATGCCTTAAGCCGATGTTGGTTCTGTAGATTGACGTTGATTTTAAAATGTTTACATTTAAACCCCTCTGTCGAGAAAGCGGTTAGGAGATAGCATTATTACTTAATATTACTTAATATTGCTATTTTTTCTGATAGTTTTACCATTTAAATGTTGTTGAATATTATTATTTTTTATTGCCCTTGTAGGCAGACGAGCATGCGGCTCACCTAATGGTGAGTGGTTACCGTTGCCCATGGACTTCAGCAATACTAGGGGCAAAGCTAAGCCGCTGCCTATATGCTACGTAAATATAGATTTGATTACGAGATAAATAGGGTTTGTCGCAAAATGCACCCAAGTCCAAATCGAACATCTTATTCAAATATGGTGAGTGAACACTTTAGTGTTCGTATAAAACGATACTTGCACTACAAATAGCACATTACATATTTAATACAATATCGTACCAATAAATTGCATAATGATATTAAAATATTAAATATCTACGAAGCATATATATTCTGACACAAGAGAAATTGATAATAAATAAAAAACACCAATACACATTCTCAACTTAAAAAACAAACAAAAATTTCAAAATCTGGGCAAAGAAATAAGGTTTGTGTTTCTTTTTTCCTTTTTTTTAAGTAAAGTTATCAATAAGTTTGCTTATTATCATTAAAAAAATGTAAAAGTTGCTTTATTTTAGCAAAAAATCTCCACTGCCCCTTTGAATACCCTTCAAATAAAACAAAACAGGAAATGTATGCGAAATGAAGCTACAGCTTAAGCACTCAGTGATCGTGGTCGAATTCGAACCACCGGCGAATGCCGGTTTTAAAGTTTAATTTACCACTTTTCAATAAGTTCAATATGTTTTTAACGTTAATATAAAATCAAACAAACTAAAAAGAACAACAAAAGGTCTTAAACGACAAATAATCACAACTAGTTTTCAGTTGTGCATTATATTTGTGGTTACTATAAATCGGTGACCAAACTACCTACTAAGCTACCAAACAATGAAGCTTATGATCACTTAATATTGATTTTTTTTTTGTTTTTGTGATAATTTTGTAATAATAAGAGATTTCAACATAAAATAAGTAGTGCCCTTGTACACTGTATCCTTATTGTCGTGTTTCTTCTAACAGCTGTGTGTACAAAATATATTAAATTAATAAATATCTAAATAAAAATAATTTTATTTTTTATTTAACCTATTACCAGCTCGAGTTTTGCAAACTTCTAATTACTGTTTGTCATGTAATGAAATTGTAAATACGTTTGAGTAAATATATGTTTTTCTTTTCATTAGTTGTCGAACGTTTACATGTACAATTATTGTTTGTAAATCCTCATCTCGGTACTCACTCCTAATTATATGTGAAGTTATTTTATCTGCTCGACAGCAAAGACGTGTTTTATACGGTGTTCAGTTATCGCGTATTGTTCGACATTGAAATCATTGTTTTTTGAAATTGTTGTGAAAAATATGATGGAATAATAATGAAACACAAATATTTGTAAAGTTTTATTTATATCGCTCAGACGGATACACGAGTTCAGTTGTTTTAACTGGTCAACTTAGGACACGAGTATAGGTCTCATTTCTATAGTAAAACCGATGCCCCACCCTTGAAACCGGAACGCATTACTGTATCACCTGTGCGGGCAAAACAGACGCTCTACCAACAGTATCACATATTAGTAAACTCACTATTTTCAAGGTAATATATATCACTAGATTCAAAATATTCTAGTTTTTGTTTGTGTACTTATCGTAATAACAGAGGGCTCGCATACTTTATATGACAATATTCTGTGATGTGTCCCGTGACTGAGGAAACAGCTATTATATACATATAACGTCGGCTACCTCAATCGAATGCGTTCACTTCTTCCTAGATCCGACCCAAGGAATCTGACCTAAGAAAAGTATTTAACGGTAATGTTCCGAATTACATGAATATGAAAGAACATTCATCTCAAAGATCCAATTCTTTGCTCTCTTTTTTACAATCTATCCAACAATCCATCAAAATTTTTGATTTTAAATACAAAAAATTATTCAATATTCCGATTGAAGTTTAATTCTGAACGAATAATAGGTAGTTTATGTTCGAGTTAAATCTTACTCTAGTCTTCACCTAATCGCGAGTAAATTTTATTTAAGTACCACCGTAACGACCTCTTTACCTGCGAGTCATTCATTCCTATTTCTGCCGTGAAGCAGTAATGCGTTTCGGTTTGAAGGGTGGGGCAGCCGTTGTGACTATACTGAGACCTTAGAACTATATCTCAAGGTGTGTGGCGCATTTACGTTGTAGATGTCTATGGGCTCCAGTAACCACTTAACACCAGGTGGACTGTGAGCTCGTCCACACATCAAAGCAATAAAAAAATACTTTCCAGTGCAGCAGAGTAGAAGTTGTTATTATAATGTAATTAACATTTTGACATTCATGTCTATGTTACGAGTATGAAGAGACCACTGATAAAACAGTATTACGGCTTTCTCATATATAAATACGACGTATGATAAAATGACGATAAATAAATTGTTAAATAATACTTGAGACGTCTTGTCACCGTTTCTCAAAGGTGGGTAGCTCCTGGTTATATTTCCGTTACATTGCGGGTATCGGTAGCCGCTTGTTCGGTTTAAGATTGATAAAAAATTATTCTATTTATTTTCTTGGTCAAAGCACATGTTACTTATGATGTTATATGAAAACAAACTCAATTGTAATTACAGATACCATTATTTAATTGAACGTGAAGAATTACAATACCATGAGCAACTGTAATTAAAAATCGTCAAGATATAAAACATATCACAATGTATTATAGCATTGTTTGAATTAAAACAAAATAATCTTAACGTTACAAAGCTACTGTCTAGTAATTTACAAAATGTAATTAAGCAACATTCATAACGGTCATCAAATTCACGCTTTCGTTTTAGAAGTTTTCTTCTTTCCAAATTGTTCACCCTCTTCGATGGTAGTCATGAATTCACAGCCTTTGGTTTCAGGTAATAGGAACGTAACACAGCCCGCTATCAAAGGTAATAATGCAAAACAAACTGGTGGCAGCCAGACAGCCACATCCTCAAGCGATATCACAAAAGGAGCCACCATAGAACCAACACGAGCACTCATAGACGAAACCCCGATAGCCGCATTTCTAACGACAGTAGGGAATAGCTCGGTACAATACAAATAGACAACAACGAACACAATGAAACTTGCAACAACACCGATGCTAGCGCAAACTACCGAACCTGTTCCTTGTGGTATTACAGCCAGAACCAGGAGACAAAACGCGCAAACAAAACTAAATACTATGACGATTGTTCTTCTTCCAATAACTTTCATTAACGGTATAGACAACAGGGTGCCAAGAAGCGTGACACTGGCGCTTGCAGCCACATTGATGAAAACGTCTCCACTGAGTTGACCAACATATTGGGACACTCCGTAAAAACAATAACTGCATGTCAACCAATTGAAAGACATAGCCAATATATTTTTCCGCAAGTTCGGTGTCCGAAATAAGTCTAGTACGGTTCCTTTTTTTAATTTGTTTTTCTCTAAGCTTGCTTGAAACGCTTCGATATCCGTTCTGATAGCATCCGTAGGTCGTTTGTTTCTGTAAAAATAAACATGAACTGTTTTTTTTTTGTTTTTTTTTGTCTTTAATAAAACTCATTTTTTATACCTACACATATTATAATGTAGTTGATGACATATTATATATGTAGTGTTTAAAAAAAATAGATTATTGAATTCGAGATTCAGAAAATAATTGTATTTTCGTAGACATTCTTACAATTACTTTTAGGGTTTTTTAACCTAGCGTTTATTATTTTCATTTTATTATTTATGACATTTCAAATACTTTAGTCTACATTTTTCGTGACCACAAACGACTGAAGAGGCAATCTTCGAAACAGATATTATATAGATAGGTACATATATATCATGTATTACTTACATTTTCGCTACACGTTCTAAAATGGTGATGGCTTCCTCGGTTCTATTCACTGCTATCAACCATCGTGGCGTTTCCGGTACCAAAATTACATATGACAACAGAACAATGACGGGGACTGATATTGAAAGTTGAAAAACAGAGTAATCTCTACAAAAGTACCCAAAAACTGGTAAAAGCATGTGACCCAGATTGAAAGGTACTTGATACAAAGCTGAGATTACATCTCGGTACTGAGCTCCAACAAACTCCATGACGATAACAAATGACGTCACCATTGTGCCACCAACGGACATCCCCACAAGGAACCTTACGAATGTAAAACTCCAATAATCTGGGACATAAGCGGCAGTAATACCCATCGTTACTTGAATCACGACGGCCACTAGCAGAGGGTTTTTCCTTCCAAATCTAAAATGATACAGAATCACAATCAATTGCTAAGTCAATTTTTCATTTCATTATAGGAAATAATAAGAAATTGAATATCACCTATCCGAGGCCATTCCGAAGAACACGCTGCCGAATAGCGTGCCCAGTTGAAACAATGTTTGCGTAAAACTAGTCAACCACTTTCTGTCACATATTAAGTCCCATTCCATTATTATAGTCCGTTTGAAGACTGATGTGTCGTATATAGGATCCGAACAAGGACAAGTTTCGTTGTTCGTACTTGCACAAATATATGACACTTTTGGCGATAAAAATATGATGGCCATTTGATGGAATGCGACCGGAAATTTTACTAAGAATACAACTAAACATAAGTACAATTGATATTTTCCAAAACATCCGATGACTTTTTGAATGAGATCTTTCTTTGGCGAAGGCGTGGCCCCTGAAATGAAAAAAAGAATCATTGTAATTGATTTAATTCAAACTAGTATTTTGTGAACTAAACTGAGTGCGCATTTGTTACTGTGGATTTTTCCCTACCTATACGTTGGTAGCCCAAGAGGCTATTTCAGCTACGCCCGAACGGGTGACCGGGAAGCCGTAACAAGAGCAGTGCTTCACTGAATCTAATATCGTGTCGGAATTGCGACCTACTGAGAAGATTCGCCCAGACACTGTCGTTGTGTCTGTGGGCTAAGCTGCACATCATATTCAACGCATTCGACAAGAACGGTGACGGTACTTAGAGAAACTAAAAGCATTGCGAGTAGAACCGGAGGAATCGATAAGACATGTTTTGCGACGACAACTTTGAGTTGCCCCGTAGCCTGAATCGGATATGCAGTTAGAGGCGGCCACGATAAGAGGGTTAGAAACAACTTATATTTAAAAAAAATCATATCTTATTCATATGATGAGTGGGGGCTTTATACGGAACATAGAAAAAAAATCAAGTTCTAGCTACAATATATATTAATTAATATTATATAAATAAATTTATAATATTACAAAAACATAACAGAAATGTTTCCTAACATTAACTAATGTTTTTCAATAAACTTTTAACTGTTAACACATCAATAAGAAAAATAAAACTTTCTTTGCAACCAACCCAACAGTTAAGCTTCCGTTTTTTAATTTCACAGGCATGTAATTTTTTACTGTCGTACCTTAGAGGTTGAATATGTTTAACGTTCAATACACGATAAAAAAGAATATATTTTTTAATCGTGTACTTTAATAACAGATCTCCGAATTGTTTCTAATAGAAACAATCGCCACTGGAGGAAGATTCATTTCGGATCCTCCCGATTCACTAACGGTGCTTTTAGGTACCTCAAGAACCGATCATCGTTCTCGTCGCAACCATCGCGACGCGACGAAGGGCTTGGCGAGTAAATTAACCCACAGACACAGCCCACCGAGTTTCTCCCCGGATCTTCTCAGGGGGTCGCGTTTACGATCCGGTGGTAGATTCTGCGAAGCACGGCTCTTGCTAGGGTTCGTGTTACCAACAACGTCAGGTTTGAGCCCCGTGAGCTCACCTACTCGCCCGGTTACGCTGACATAGTCTCACAAGGCTACAGCTTAGATAGGAAAAAAAAAGGAGGAAGATATGGCGCGGCACTAGGACTTTAATTGTAAATATACAAACAAAAGCGCTAAGTTTCTTAATAAAGGTGAGAGTTGTACGCGAATGTACAAGACCAGTAAATACAACTATATGAGAGGTATGTATTAAATAGTTATGATTCAACCGTTTTTAAAGTATGCATTGTTTGTGATTCGACGCTAAATATTATTATTGCCGTAACGAAAAACGTGGATGCTTTGTCACTATACAATTTTTGAGTGTTCTAGCACGTGCAGTTATTTGGACAAGATTGTTAAAGTCGAAGTATAATATCTACTACAAATGCTCTGAAAAATATATGTAGAGCACTAAATCTTTTCTTCTATTCTTATTCGAGAAAATTGTTATTGACATGGGGTACTAAAACAACATTTAAAAATATTATTGTCTATGTATGTCAAATTATTTCAAGCTTTGATGTAGTCTTTTTTTTTCGATGGATGGTGATTCCCGCGCATCCCATTATACCACTACTACTTTTATTTTTAAATCCTTATATAATAATTTAGATTTTTACTTCTCAGCACTGAATACAACACAAAGTATACACAAAGCTGTTCTTGAATTTATTAAGATGATATAGGAATCCTAAAGTAAACAGACAATGAAAGAAAACACTTCCAACAGCTGAATTTCTATGATCCTTACATTATTTACCGGTATATCATAAACCTGATTTTGTCACAGTCTTTATAATTAAACAATTATAGTCAGGAGTGTAATGCACTTGTTCCAATATTTCCAATTTCTAATGCATGTAGCGTACATACTGTCTGCTTTGATTTGTTCGTTAGTAGCTCAATAAAAAACTAGTATCAGTAACAGACAATATTAATGTGAATACCCATAAATGCACCGATAACCCGAAGTCTTGACATGGTGTCTTAATGAAGATAGGGAATATTTCATCATTAGAAAAAAAATACACTAATTTGTAAAATTATAATTATATAGAACGTAAATAGGTATTTTCAAAGTGTACAATATTATGTACTTTATTGTAGACTTTGTTCTCAATACACTCCATATGAATGATAGTAAGTACTGTGAGATAACGAGATACATCTTTTCGTAGGTATTGTGTATAAATATAAGAGTTGTACATGCAAAGCAAAACGCAGCTATAAATTCGCCGTTATTAATGTGATTGTGGTGTTTATTGAGGTCGTGATGGCCGTTATTGCATTACAATAAACCACTACATACCAACTTCAATCTTTTCAATGTGAATGGCTTACTATATAATTCATTGCATACTATATAATGCCGGTTATTCTCAGAGGTTTCCAATGTCGAAACGATAATAAGGTCGTAACATTTTTACCAAAAAGAATTATTCTTTTTGTAAAATCGATTTTTATATATTCATAGTGTATCGCCTTGTTCTAGTTATTTTTGTCCAGAAATTTAAAAGTAATTATTTAAAAAAAAAAATATTATAACTATGTACATACACTTCTCTTTAAAAAGTTTTATAAACGCTAAGTGCAAAATAAAGCCAAATGTAATGTAAAAATAAATCGTGAATTATAAACTTTTGGGCGACTATTTTTTAATTTTCTTATGTTAGGCACTGTCATCGTCTGTTTTTGTATTCAGGAGCACCCTGTATTAAGTTTTGGCCTTATAAACGCTAGTTGTGTATCTTGTACAATTCAGAATAGTTTATCAATGGTAACTATAAAATATTATTATATGGCAGTTTTTTTTTCTTCGTACATTTGAAGTATTAATACAGATTTTCGAATTGCTTATGGTTACTAGGTGTAAAATAGTTCGTCAGTAATCGTATTATTTATGTATTGTCATATTTTTTTCATAAATTGTAAGTTTTAAAACAAATGAATCTCAATCGAACATTTTTTGTGTGTATGAACAAACCCATAAAGAAAAAAGCACATAGACAAAAATTGTTAAAGTTCTAGATTTGTATTATGTGTTGTTACGATTACTTCAACAAATTTAAACACACTTTTATAGCGCGAACATATAAATTAAATTAAATTAATGAAAAATCTACATTCATTGTTTACGACAAAATTCACGAATTACCTATTAGTGATAGGTTCATGACTGAAATTACTAGATAATGTGTGACATAAATTCCACTTGTTTTTACTCATTAAAAATATAAACAGCTCCGAACATAATATATACAAATAAAAATATAAAAATTACGAAAACAGGCCTAGGTAGGCTCAGATAACATTCACAGTAACGGGGTCAACATACTACAATAATTACTGATACTTTCACTTTTATCGGTACAAACCATTTTCGTCCTTGAGTTGCTGCAATTCCATTTTTTATAATATTTAATTTTAAGAGCCACTAAGTTTATTGTCACACACGACTCACGATCCAATTTAGGATCCAGTGTTAAGCCGTTCTGTTCGAATGGCGACAAAGGACTGACAGAACAACTCGTCTGTGCATTACCTCTCTCTTAACAGTGTCATTGTTGTCAGAGATAGTAACGACAGAATCTACGTAGCCAATTGAATACATAGCTGCAGCTACATGATATAATAATTTTTATTTTACAACTATCGTTTACAATGGAATTTAGTTTACATAATCTTCAGATCTCTCGTGGCGAAATAATTTGGTAGATCATCTAGTAAATAATTAAACTCTTTCCACTAACCAACATTTACGACAGATAGTTAAGTTCAAACATCATACTTTACTGGTGTATATATACATACCACCTGGCTGCCTATTTTTGAAGAGAGCATTCATGCTTTTCATTTTGAAGGGTAGGACAACCATATTCTAATACCATTGATACTTTTAATTTAAATCTTAAAGTTGATGGCGACATAAAATCAATTAAGTTTATGGATGGTTTATGGACCTGGATCTTAACTGGGCTAGATAATCCCAACAACGTTCAATGAGTTTCGCTACTTAAACGAGTTGTTAGTTGAGACCAAAATACTGATGGATTAACAAAAAGGGAACACAAGGAGCCAGAGTAGGGTCTGAAGCATTAGTGGCCACCCAAAATAAGACTAGTCGATAATACTCTTAAGAACTTCTCAAAAAATCATCACAAAATTAAAAAAAAAACTTCGAAACAGTCACATAAGTGTTTCGAAGTGAAATGAATAAAGGCTAGCTTTTAAGAAGTCCGTTTTGATATTTGTATTTGGGACCCTCATAGGACGCTGCAGACACACATGGAAAATAAAATTTGGTCAACGCCCTGACTTGCAGATTATGCAAAAGGGAAGTGGAAATATAGGTTGTTAATGCGATAGACTAGCCAAGATAAAAGAATGGACATGTTATGTGGTGGCTATCTGAACCAGCAGGCCCTTATGTCCCATAATTGTTGCTAAATGCACAGCAGTTTTGTTTAGAGATGAACAAAAGTGGTCAGGAAAATAGGAAGAAACATCATTAAAAATAAGATGAAAAATCAACGAAATGGAAAATAGTTTTCAGTTCCTGTCAAGCTAATCACAGATTATTTAATCTTAATTTCATCGTTATTTGTTCTCTCTGAGCCTATTTTTTTTTTTATTGCTTACATGGATGGACGAGCTCACAGCTCACATTGTGTTAATTGGTTACAGGAGCCCATAGACATCTACAACGTAAATGCGCCGTCCACCTCGAGATATAAGTTCGAAGGTCTCAAGTATAGTTACAACGGCTGCCCCACCCTTCAAACCGAAACGCATTACTGCTTCACGGCAGAAATAGGCAGGGTGGTAGTACCTACCCGTGCGGACTCACAAGAGGTCCTACCACCAGTGAAGAGTATAAATAGTCATAAATTATTCATTAACAAGTTCATTTTCTTGATGTCATAATCTTAAACGAAAACACGGCAGGTGTATCTGCCCATACCCTGGTAAAACTGGAAAGGCTTCCAGGCCACCAGTAACCTCTCAAACATAGAAAAGTATCTGCCACCCGGCAGGGTCACACGAAAACGTTTACTCCGTAAACTAGGTGATTTCTAAATGGTTTACAGTACAAGTGCTTGCAATAAAAAAAGGAAAACATAACTTTACGATCGCCATTATTCTGAAGTTTATGGCAGCGCCGGAACTATCACTTATATCGGTTTTCAATGGCTACATTAGTTTTAGACAATAACCAATTTCGTTTGTTGTTTGAAAATAACTGTACGTTACGGAGCGGAGGTGCGTTTGAAAACGTGAAATGCTTAATTTACTTTACAGAGCCCTAAGCTGTTTATAACCACTATACTATATCAAAAATTACTTTGCGTGTAAAATACATATTGCATAATTCACAAAGAATTCATTTATCAGTGAGTAGTGACTGTCTTATTTTCGTGTTCAGGAAACTCAGTAGTGTTGGTCTTCCTATAATATATAAGTTCTTATAATGTATAAGTCATTATGGCTGACTTACCTATTTTATTTTCCCTCGACGCCATAAAAATACGTCATAAACAATATTAAGATAGGTACGGTATGTATGTATTGTATCAAAAATATCAGAAAAATTTTACGTGTCAATGTTGCAGTGACGTTTAGAGTAACGCATGTAAGACTTTTTAAGANTTGGTCTTCCTATAATATATAAGTTCTTATAATGTATAAGTCATTATGGCTGACTTACCTATTTTATTTTCCCTCGACGCCATAAAAATACGTCATAAACAATATTAAGATAGGTACGGTATGTATGTATTGTATCAAAAATATCAGAAAAATTTTACGTGTCAATGTTGCAGTGACGTTTAGAGTAACGCATGTAAGAGACTTTTTAAGAATTGAAATTTACACAAAAAATCTTTAGGTCACTATTCAGGCAAGGTCAAGTAAAGTTACTATTTAACTGCTTAAACACATTATAAAATTATGTTATCGTTTTTTTTAGGAACAAATACAACTCCAGAACGAATATTAGATAGCTACAATATCAGCAGACATTTGGATACGTCACGAGGCATATCGCAAGGGTCACGATCTTCTAATAGAGTGTGTTTTAAAATCGTCCTCAAAATATAATAGAGGCGGTAGCTAATTCTTAACACGAAAAAACTAGAGTGCCCTAGATAATTTGACGTACGTTGACACTACTCGTAGTAGAAAGTAGTATGCAATTTTATTGTATGTAATTGATATAATCTAGAACCCGTGACTTTGTGTTTGCTTAGAACACTCCCGTACATTTATGTAGATGAAAAGCGTTAAATCGAATGTAAGATTGTCGAGGAAGTAAATGCGAATTCAAATCAGCTGACGCCTGTAAGTCACATTTCCAAAGTAATACGGGCTGCATATTTCAGCCCACTTTAGCAAGATTATCAGATCACCAAAAATGAACATTTTTTAGCACAGACATGATAACGCTAATCTTAACTTAAGACGTTAGGTTAGACTCTGATTTTATTGTACGCTGACTTCGACGACGTCAATTTTCACTTCAAGAAGCCACACATGAGGCTGCAGAAATAGACAGGATGGACCTACGCATGCAAGAAAATAATTTATATATATTTAGATAATAATTTAACGGCCGTCTGGTGTAGTGGTAAGTGACATGGTCACTACACTAGGGAGTCGGGGGTTCGAATCCCGCCAAGGGAAGATATTTGTATGATAAATATAGATGTCTTTTCAAGGGTTATGGATGTATATTAAATATATGTATGTGTATAATAAAAATCTTACATTTATTTCCGTTATCTGGTACCTGTAACACAAGTTCTTTACGAACTTATCACGGGACCAGTTATCGTGGCGTGATTGTTAGTAAATATTTATTATTATTTATTTATTTAATTTACAAATGACAATTTTCCAATAATTCATCCGATCTGAGATTGATCTCGCGTTGTGTCATCAGCGGAAGTGGGATGGGTGGTGCGAACGTGATGTCCTCGCTCAACTCCCGTAGGGGACGTCGAGTTCCAGTTGTTGGGGCACCCAGAACGCGGTCTGTCTTTCCGGTGATGGAGCATCGCATGGGAGCGCAAGGTGGAGTGAATTGAAGTGAGAATTGCCCAGATGATCACGTCTGACCATCTGCATTATCGGAGAAGACGGACTCGCGGCGCGCATTTCACGCGTCACTGTGAGTCTCTCTAAGCCGGAACAGGATGAACTCGTTGGGGTTTACTCGGTACTCGTTCTGTGGAACAGTAATGTGGTTCACGCTGTCTAGTGCGCCTTTTTGAAGGCCTAGTCTACACGGAGACGCCGGAGTCGAACATAACCCGGCCAATTTCTCCAACGAGCGTGTATTCGTAAATTAATCGCCCGCCATAAAAAGAGGTCGAAACATAAATTCAAAGTTATAGTGACTTTATTTTACGCGTCACAGTCAATCCAAATCATTTCACATAGACATTATCTCATTTCATACTATACATAATCAATTTCAAATAAAACAAGTTCATTACATTTCGATCTATTTCATTCTTTTTATACAACAGACTTGCCTTCCACCTTTAGAAACAAAGTGTGTAAAATATAAATGAAGATTTAATTTAAAGAACTACTGGTTACACAATAGAACAATTTCATTTAAAGAATTCAGGCCACAAAATAAATAACATTTTTTCCAGGTACCTACAGCTTTAATGAAGCCTATATAAAAGAAGGTGGATATTTGTTTGTAATAGAAATCCCCAATTTGTCACTAATGACTGATCGAGCGTGAATTTCCCTATATTATCGATCTATATAGGATTACATAAAAGCATATCGGTACGTAGATACAGAGTGATCGGACACATTTTGTTACACACTGTTTAAGTATCTATACTGAAAACGATTATCGCCATATATAGTTACTGCTAATTTGTACACGACTGTTAAATTGACCTAAATTAGTGGTGACTTCGATCAACAAATGGGAGTACAGCTTATTACTGTCATTAAAAATTTACAATGTCAACTAGCCTTGCTCGTTAAACAATTTCATGGAAATTTTGACGTCACGTCGCAGTCACTGATGATGGACATTCCCTTCTCAAATAAAAAAGGGCAAAGCTTTAATCAAATAAACAACAAACCAATTGTTAAATGTTCAAATGGTTAGGCTTAGCTATGACAAAATGGTGCCTTCGTTTAAGCAAACAGTGGATACCGACTATCCCTCGTTGATGGTACTCTACTATAAATCTCCCTTAAAACTTCTAGTCTAGAACTTGAATAGAAGAAACTTGAATAGATGAAGCTATTATCTATTGAATAGTTAGGTATAGTCTATTGAATAGTTATAGCAAATACACGAGCAAATAAAATATTAGGTTGCATACAAAATGGATATTTAGGAATAAAATTAACAGACCTATGTTTTAGATTTGATCAGTTGTATCAAAAGTTATTTGAATTAAGCTTTTGTAGGTACATTTCGAATAATTCAACCGTATTACTTAAGAAAACGAACACGACCAATTCACTGAATTTTTCGCCGGATCTTCTTAGTGGGTCGCGATTCCGATCCGGTGTTAGATACTACGAAGCACTGCTCTTGCTAGCCAATTTTTGAAAATACTCACAGGTTGAGACCATAAGCTCACCTACCTACCTAAGCAGAAGTATGACAATTGAACAATACCCGAAAATGGAATTGCAAATTGAAAATTTGAGTAATCTCTAAAAAAATATCCAAAAACAGGTAAAAGAATGTGACCCATATTGATTGGCACTTGATATAAAGCAAAAATCACATCTCTGTATTCAGCTCCAACAAACTCCATGAGAAAAACAAAAGTAGTAGGTAACTATACTGCCACCGACAGACATCTCCACAAGGAATCTTACGAAGGTAAAACTCCAAAAATCTGGAACATAAGCTGCAATAATACCCATAGTTACTTGAATTACGACAGTCACTAGCAGAGGGCTCTTCCTTCGAAATCTAAAATAATTTGAGTCAATTTTATTTATCATTTGGCCGTTGGGGCCGGAAAGTTCTTGAGTGGCGACCGCGTTCCAGACGACGTAGCTTGGGTAGGCCTCCCACAAGATGGACCGACGACCTATTAAGATCTGTGGGATCCGTTGGATGCAGGCAGCGCAGGACAGATCTTTGTGGCGAAGCTTGAGGGAGGCCTATGTTCAGCAGAAAACGTCTGTGGGCTGATAGAATGGAATAGAATAGTGCCAACCTCAACCAATCGGATAAGCATATGGGAAGCAAAATATATAGTATTAAGATATTACCTGTTTTAAACTTGGTATAAAAATCATTAATGAATTCTCTAATCGATTTCATCTTATCTTTATTTTGAAGGAGTTATGTTTATTTCTAATTTGAGACTTTTCATTTTTCTTTGAAAGACAATATTCAAACGACACATTGACGGGCTCTGTGCGATTGAAGTATTATTAACAGAAACGTTATGGTACACAATATGTACACCTATATAGTAATTTTGTAAATTTTCCATCAGTTAGTTTCAAGCCATCTAGATGGCAGCACATAGATAATAGCACTTAAGTCAGATCTGAACATCCAAATAGGTCCGAACCAGAACAGATCGGGTAATCGGGTAATTCTATAAGGGCGTTTACTTTTCCGCTTCGTCACTTCAGCATTGTGCATTACTTGTTAAATGACTATTCATAAATGACTTTTAATAAAAAACAAAATACTTCTGGATTTCAATTTATTTTTATACATATCTGCCTATGTACATAAATTAATTATATACTCTACTACTGTAACAAAATAATATTATTTTACATCGCGAAAATTATTCGCAAATCAATATTTACAGTACATGTATATTGAATATATATTTGATTTTCTCTTCACGGACAAAAAGCTAAAGATTTAATTAAATAAGCAACAACAATCACTGTAACATTTTATAAACCATTAAGAATATATAGCTCACACAGCCATGAAAGTGCAAGTAATTATTTTCTATTATATATCGCCATTACAAAGTTGTCTTAACATTATAGAATTGATAGGAAAAAATTATACCATTGAATTTAAGAATTCGTCGCTATTGCCTATGGTGAATTGCTCCAAAGCTCCTTTTTGTTTAGGCATTCCCTAAAGCTTTCCATCGTGTTATTTACATACTTCACTTAATCGCTATCTGCCGACGAAGTTATGTAATGCTGGACAATTAAATTGTAGAAATGATTTTACATAAGGTGAGCGACGGTATTCACATTACGGTGTCTATGAACTCGGTGACCGCATGGTGATGACCTCATAAAATAGCAAGTCCAGCCTAAGAAAACTAGATAAATGAAAGCAAATTGAAATTTATCAACATATCTATAAAACGATACCTTTGATACATTTCGACATTCTTAGTCCGAAAATACGGACTCATAAAAATAAATCATTAATAAAATGACTAAATAGCAAAAGACAAAATAATTTCTGAGCAAAAAAAAATTAAACAACTTGTATTTCATATATTAAAATCGGCTGTCGTGGATTTGAGATAAGCGATTTATATTTTTACGGGGATTGCGAGGGATCGCTCTCTGCCTAGTGTGACCAATGCACGTCTAGAATTTCTACTGCGACCTCGTGCAATTTTACAAAATAGTACTATCACTGTATAGCATGAAAAACACTAATTCTGTATTTCTGATCAATTTTAATAAATTCATAGTTACTATTGTTTATTTCTTCTTTTTTTCCAATTTTTCTTCTTGTCCACAATCTTACTTAATTGCCCAATTAAAACTAAAAATATACAAGAACATAATAAGCTGTCAAATACCGAACTTAACTTATTAATGTCATGTGAACTTAAAAATACATATACATTAATTAGGAATTATAACTAAACAGTTTAATTTTAAATTTTTTATCACGATAATTTATAACATTTAAATATCACATAATGAATTAATTTTTTAATCATTACAACATTTGAAAATGGCAAATTAGAAAACTTGAAACGAAAATTTTCAAGACATTCCGATTCGTAAAAATTCATTCAACCACTCATTCAAGGAACTAGATATGAAAACTGTCACAATTCAATTCATCATCAGTCATCATGATGTATTTAAATGATATTGTACACATACTCAGAGAATATACACATGCAGAAATACTAAATGTTGTGGCCTCTACTGCCAAGTGTATAAATTTCCCGCAAAACAAACCAATACTTTATTTTAAGAGCATAAATACATCAAACTTTTATTATAAAACGATACAATCTACAGTATACCGTTCTTTCAAATATCCATACAATCGCTATCCAAAACATTAAAATGTAATTGGTGTCGAAAAGTTATTGTTTCAACAGCAGCATTATGGGACGTGTAAATGTAAATACATCTAATTGAAAGGCACTAAGACCCTAAACTACTAATAGAATCTCTGTACAAGATCATAATTTGAATTCCAAAATATGTTTTCATCAGGCAATGACATGTGATAAAATTGTTGATACAACTGAAAAGAACAATATTTTATTACTATCAGATAATGAGCATTGCACAATCTTAGAGTAAATGCATTTTCTCAAACTTATAGGTACCTACAAAAATATACTATACACAATGCCATTTCAAAAATTTTTGTTGGAAGTTAATTCATTTATACAAGATTGTGTAACAGACATGATTATATTCATAGAAATTATACAGAAACGATGGTTTCCTACGTTCTTTAATGTATGAATTAATCCAATCTTTCTGAGATTCTAGACAGAAAGTGCGTGCAATTAAATAAGCACAAAACAGACTATTTAGGATAATGAAAAGCTTACTTAATTTAACAAAACAAAACAGAAACTCAGTTTCAAACTCTTAGAGCAAAATTATTATGGTGTTATTACTATTAGGTGCTGTAATGTCTATGATTTCTTATTTTTGAAACAAGATTACAAATTTTTAAAGCAGGACCCAACTTTAGACCCATGTACTTCATCATCATACCAGAATTCAGCAATAGTAATGCTTTCCCGTCGATTTCCTGTAACAGATAATAAAACTATAATGTCTCTACAATATAAAGTTTGTATATTAAGCAAAGTAATCTATTAAATTTTTTTTATGAATGTTGATCTTCGATCAATAATACTACTAGATTCGCGATTAGCGCTTCAAAAGCGGCCCGAAAAATAAGACCACAAATAAATTTGTGGTCTTATTTCAAATTAGTATGGTCCAATCATAGCCAACACTAAGACGTCAAAACGCTGCAATGCGCGTTCAAAAACTGAGTAAAAAACCACCGTAACACCAAGGTTTTGGAAGGAATATCTNAGGTAGAAATATGTCAGTCCAATGGCTGAATCGTTTGGTTGGTTTAACTGAATATGGGTGTCACAAGAGCTAGTCTGACTCAACTAAACAGACCTAGCTTACAGTATCAAGGAAAAAATAAGGTTCTCATTTTGGATACTTTTAACTTTTTTAAACAATCATTGTGTTCCTGTATGGGCAGGATGTTTATAAAAAAACGTACATGTTTCCTGAACAAGTCAGCGTGTGCTGCAAGGGCCTGATCAGCAGCAGCAATAAACCCGATGACGTCTTCCACAGACCAGTCCCCCGGCGGCGTCTGCGGCGGCGGTGGAGGAGGTGCCCCACTGGTCGTGGTTGTGGATGATGCAGGCTCTGCTCGTTCTGGAGACACGCGTCCCACCTTGCTTGCAGAGCACTCCTCTGCGTTAGCTATATTCTCATCCTGATATAAAATATTTATTCATTTTAAATACTAGAATTCAATTTTTAAACGACACATAATGTAGTAACTGTCTGACACCCATCTGTGACCATAGAAACTGTAAGGGATTTGAGACATCATGACTAATATAAAAACTATTATGTTTACTGTTTAGGTAGCTTAGTTACACACTTAAGCAAATTTGTTTAAGTAACATTTCAGTTATGCATGCATTTAGTAATCCTTTGTATGAAAAGGAGAACAAGTACCCTACAATGACAGTAATAGCAAGATGAAGCTGTAAAAATAGTTCTAGTTCATCTAAAATTCTAAAACTGGTCTATACCATCTTAAAAAAACCTTCTCTTTTTACATGCTTATAATGTACTGTTCTAGGATATTTTTATTATTTTGAGTTGTTTTATGAAAACATTGTACTTAGTTTACAAAATTAAACGATAACATTTGTCATTATGTCTATTAAGTCATCAGGGTTGGTAAATGATTCAACAGCGTTAAAAAAAAAAAAAAAGGGTTGGTAAATGAATCTATTAAGTGGTAATATGAACAATAGCACAAATGAGTCGTCTATTATCAAAGGTGGCAATCTGTGCATTTGGACAAAAAAAAATTATTGATATGTCAATACAGATTGATTTGAATATAATCGTCTCCTTCAAAGAATACGGTTCAAAACCTGCATTAAATAAAGATTAATAGTTAACCTGTTATTTATCTAAGATGTCGTTCCGAAGAGTTTTGTGACTGCCAATGGAATACAAAGTCAATAATTCGTTTTTCTGATTTACCAATCATTGTCCAAAAGTCAGATTGCCGGCTTTGATAATAGTCGACTCAAATATCTTTTATCACTACCAATGTGAATGCAATAAAATTCAATGAAATTGATAATCTCAATCTGCAAATATTAATGATTTGAGTTGAATATATTATACTCCTCCAGTTCAATTATATTTATTTGCAAAACCGACATGATGGAAAGAGCTTTGAAATATTTTTTGAAGAATTAAAAAAATTAGAAGATAAATTATGTGGATTACTAACTAGGAGGGGCATAAACAATTTTGATGAAAAACTGAAGATTTAAAAAAATTTTTGAACAAAATAACATTGTTCTAATGAAGCAACCTAAGATATTTTTGCTTTGGATTGCAGGCAAGTGCATAGTGCATGTGAACCCTAATCCTGATATTAAACCAACATATATGGGCATCCAAAATTAATAAAAAATTATAAAGGATTTATCCTTTTGAAGTCGTTATGGCCTAAAGTATAAGACGTCCTATGCATTTGCATGTAGTGATGCATCAGTGTTTCAGGTACCAATTTTTTCAATGAAATATGTACTCAACAAATGTTCACGATTGACTTCCATGGTGAAGGAATAACATCGTGTAATAAAAATCTGCTTACATTTAGCTGCTTACAAAAATGCTTACATTTAGGGGCCTCTTTACAGCTGATGACACATTATTAGATGATGAATCTCCACAAAGTGAACATAGTTGACCAGGCGCATCCTCTGTATCTATTTTTATCATACCAACACAGCTTCCCACACCACTACAAACAGCTTTCAACCAATTCTTCAGGTCATCATTTGTAAGCTCTGAAGGTACTTTTACTGTATAATTTTTGCTTCCAGATGAGACCTATAACAAAATTAAGTTTTAGTTTACAATGAATACTATAATACTGACCTTAGTTAACTTGTTAGACCTGAAAATTGTAGTTTGTGAACAATAGTTGCAATCTAACCCACAAATCTAGATAGTGGTTCAGTACTATAATTTTATTCACCATATAAGTATGCAAAAATTCTTTTCTGTGCCACCTGTAAGCCTTGAATCTATTTCAACATTTCTTTTCATTCCTGTAGGCTCTATAGAGCTGTTAAGGCCTCTAGCTACTTCACTGAAGATTGTAGGTTCAATTTCTATCAGGCAAGCATTCCTGTGATAAACAGATTTGCTTGCTCTTGGCTGGGTGCTGTAATACGTGGTTTTGACTAATAATATTTTAGAAATATTCCAGAAATATTTAGTTTTTATCTATGTTTTTTTTATTTATTTTACTGTTATTATGATTTTTTTCTGCTTGAATTGCAATGGTGCTATAAGGACATGTAAAGGATTTCTAAAATTTGTGTAATAGTTTAGATGGATTCTCATAAATGAAAAATGTATAATTCGTTCAGGTGTTTACAACACTGAAACATTGTGGTAAATAATTTTTTTTATATATTAATATTATAATGTTATATATCAAATCAAATGATGAAATAAAGTTTATTAATGTTTTTAGGTTTCTGAATATTTATTTTTTATCTTGAAGTTTGTTATACCTCTAATGCAATAAAAACAATATAAAATGAATGCTAAAACATCAGGTTGTGATGTTTTATTTAGAGAATACACATAGAAAGGGTGAAAGGCTATAAACCAAATAGCGACACTTCTGCATCTTTACATTAAAGCCACTGAAGTTCAATTAAAAACATTGAACTGTTGATGCTTATACCACATAAAATGCACCTTCAATTAACAAAGATAAATGTTGCATATTAAGCAAAATTTCACTTATACCAAACATATATAGATAATATATATAAATAGCCTTCCACACCTCAATATATGAATTGATGTATGTATTTCATATTTTAAATTTTTAAAACTTGTAAATGAAGAAAACGTTACCTGTACTTTATTATTATTAGAATAGCTACTTGATGCAGTCATTATTGCTCTTGTCAATCTTTGAGGGTCTGGATGTACAATTAATAGTTCCTTAGCAAGAGCTTCAGCAGCACCTGAAGGCCCAGACCCTGAAATTGTACTGGGTAACAAGCTATTTCCACCAGTACAGCTGTTTCGAATACAAAGTCTCACTAGAGGAGCCGGTGTTGATGTAGGTGTTGTAGAGGAGTTTCCAGCACCAGTAGAACCACCTTCTGGCAAAGCAGGATTAGGTATACCAGTAGGTCTAAGTTTAAACCTGAAATGAAATAAAATTACCTAGCATTGAATACTTTACAACTATGAAACTCACCACATTGGTCTGTTGGTTAGTAAGTAGCTCTCACTATTACTACTGGGTCTTACATTTATCGGTGGTTAGATCATATATTTCATTATTAAATGTCTAGGTATAATTATTCTTATCCAGTATGGGTCTTTCTCACAAAAGATTAGAAAACTCTAATTCTAGTCATTAAACGTAGACTGTTTAACTTTTCTTTCAACAAGATAATGACAAAGATCACACACAACAATACAGAACAATGTATTTTCATAATATAAAACAACATTTGTCTAATTACATCTCAATTCAATCAATAATTCTAAGTTTCTCAAAATGTAATAGTTTCAAAATTGTACTAATAGATGTTAATAATGTTACACACCTTGATGGAGTTGTAGCACTTTTGTAGCACTGACCAGGTGGCTGCAAAGGATGACCTGCTCGAGCACACCACCCTACAGGGAATATATCCCTAGAATCATATCTACACCAGTAATCAAATGCTCCTCTCCAACCATCAAATGTAACATGGATTTGGTCATTTTTAACTGCTCCAACTGTTGCACAGCATATCAACTGCGGGTTCTTTTTATCAACTGCTTCCAACTTTTGACCAACAAAAAATAAATTTGATTTGGGAGTAGGTGGCTCATCTTGAAATACTTTAGCAGGAGCCATTTGGGCTCCATTCAAAGTCTTGAGCAAAAACATAGGCCAACTGCTTGCATTCATGCGAAAGCCGAGTGGAGGTTGTAGCATTCCATCATGTTTTTCACAGTGTCCTATGGGGTGTATATCTCCAGCATCAACGAGTCGCCAAAAGTCATTTTTATTATCGCTTCCGTCCAATCTCAGTCTCAACCTTGGACCCAAAACACCAACAACAGTTGCAATGCATGTTGATGTCAGATTACGGGGATCCAATGCTTCGAGCTTCATCCCAACTTTAAAATCATTGATAGGTGGCATTNCATCATGTTTTTCACAGTGTCCTATGGGGTGTATATCTCCAGCATCAACGAGTCGCCAAAAGTCATTTTTATTATCGCTTCCGTCCAATCTCAGTCTCAACCTTGGACCCAAAACACCAACAACAGTTGCAATGCATGTTGATGTCAGATTACGGGGATCCAATGCTTCGAGCTTCATCCCAACTTTAAAATCATTGATAGGTGGCATTGGTGCTTGTTTAAAACATTCTTGAGGTGCGGGTACACTGTTTGTTTCTTTCATGTATTCAGTCCAGTCAAAAGGTTGGTAAATATCATAAAATGAACCCGTAGAATTGTTGTTAGAATTACTTTCAGTTCCGTTTGCTCCGTTTCCAGACTGTGGTGATGTGGTACGTTTTTCATTTTTCTTCTGATAAATGTTCAAACAATGCGTAGAGCAGAAATTTTTGCTGCTAGAAGGTACATTACCGCGTATAACTGTGTCACAATGTAGACACGCGCCTTTGCTGTACGCCTGTCTGAACTCTGAGAGACATGTTTCGGAGCAAAACTCTTTTTTACCATTTTCCGTCGGTAGAACATATTTTAACGGAGTCTTACTTTCAGCACACCATGTACAAGTACGTTTCGGAGGTCTACCAGGACCACGTATTTTGCCGGGAGCTGGCCCCGACGAGCCGACAGTATTATTCGACATTGTTTTATTGTAACTTTCAACGCATAATTAAACACATTCTCACTTTCTGTCAATGAACTTGAAATTTATTGTATTTTTCGCAATATTTTAATGCCGTAATCACTATTACGACGGAAAAGATACTTAAATAAGCTCAAATATAAACAACGTCAGACAGTAGGTATTTTGGGTAGGTACCTATTTATGACGCGCTTGGAAATTCGAGCGGCCATATTAGTTTTATTAAATTTCGGATACATGACAGAAAGTAACTAGAGATAAGTCTTGATTAAAATTAGATAATTTGATTAAATTTTCGAGGGCTGATTTCACAGTAGCAAAACAGAAAGCGGCATGAGACTTATAATTTTAATAAAAAAATACTTAAATTACCCATGCTTTAAAAAAACTACGGTTAAGTAGTACCGTTTACAGTTTCTTTGCTCAAAATACCAGTTTTGTTGAGTTTCAATGTATAAAATTAAATACAGAAAACACAACAAAAATATATTTATTTAACTTATCACAAATATGGCATATTTTTTTATCAATAAAGTAAGATTGTCTATTGAATGAGATAAATGCTCTGCCGGATGCAGTGAGAAGTGCTTCAACTTTAAAAGAATGGTGTAGGAACATAACTGCATATTGTTTGTTGTTTATAAGCTTTACTATATATATGTCGTGGATAACGACTTTTAGTTGTCGTGGATAACAACTTTTAGTAATATTAAGACGGTGGTTTTGATTATTATTTTAAATGATGAAATGTTGTTTTGATAAATATCACAAAATGAAGGGTAGACTCCGTAACGCCACAGTATAAAATGGCGGTACGTGGACAGAGTCGTGGCATTCGTGTCAGACAGTGATTCCGTCCGTCTCAGCAGTGAGTCTCTGACAGACAGTCAGTCAGTCAGTCAGTCAGTCGGTCTGTCGGTATGTGCAACGAAACTGTCGGTTTATCCTGTCATTCTGAAAGTTGTGTGTGTTGAGTTTCAATAATTATTATTGAAAAGTTTTATTGACTAAACTGAGTTCAATCGAATACGAGTGATGACGAAACTACCGCTCAGCCATTCCTGGCGTGCACCGACATCAGAAGTGAGATCAGGACTCTACTCTCACTGGCGTGACGTGTTTGAACATGTTCGAAGTACAGCAAAAAAACATGATGCAGATCAGAATACTAGTAGTGGTACGCCACAAGAGCGTGAATGCAGCATATGTAAGTCGTGTAATAACGTCTCTGTTACCTCGATGGAAGATCTGAGCCACGAAGAAATCGTCACATCTTACGTTCTGGCTCATGTTGCCCAGTTTGACTGTCGACTTCATCACATGGCATTTACTAGCGGAAAT